TGTGTGTGTGTGTGTGTGTTTGTGTGTGTGTGTGTTTGTCTGTGTCTGTGTGTGTGTGTGTGTGTTTGTTGATGTGTGTGTTTGTGTGTGTGTGTGTGTGTTGTGTGTGTGTGTGTGTGTTTTGTGTGTGTGTGTGTGTTTTGTGTGTGTGTGTGTGTTTGTGTGTGTTTTTGTGTGTGTGTGTGTGTGTGTGTTTTTGTGTGTGTGTGTGTGTGTTTACATATGTATGTATATACATCCATGCATGAATACATACAGTACATACACGTACATACATAGATACATACATAGATACATACATACATACATACATACATACATACATACATACAGACGTACACACACATACACACATACACACATACACACAAACACACAAACACACATACACACATACACACATACACACATACACACATACACACATACACACATACACACATACACACATACACACATACACACATACACACATACATTACACACCCCACGTTACCTGTCAGGGTTCCTAAATTTGTCTCAGATTACGAGCCCGTACTTCTGGCCTTAGACATGAGACAATGCCAGCCAAAGACTTCGGCAACCTGCCATGAGAGCTCGCGGAAGCGCCCGCAGGGCCGAGATGGGCGTTGGACTCCGAGTGAAACCCTCTCAGGCGCCCTCACAGTCGTTCCGTTCCGGGTTCTCACGATTGTGTCGCTCCATCCGAGCTGCCAAGATCGCCATCTCCGCAGACTGCTCGGCCTGTGCCAATCAACAGGTCATGGACTGGCCGGAGGGAGCCCGATGTCAGCCAAGTCTCGACATCTGCATTCTTTCTGAGAATGCAGTATACCGTCGTGGCATAGAGTGCCTCACTCGACGGAGCGTGCTCATTGTCGGCATGCGCTTCCACATGGCATGACTGCCGGTGAAAAATCTGCCGGGCGGCCGTAGCTCGTGAGTCCGCACTCCGCGGAAGTGTAATGATCTTTGCCTTCGGCCTGGCTTCCTTCCGCACCAACACTTCCAAGAGACTATTGTGGAATATGGCTATGTACGGCTTGTATAGGAATCCCAAAAACTCTCGGATGATAAAATATCTGCACCGGCCTGCAGCTGCCGGGCCTTTTCGGACAGCGCGAAGCGACCGAGCCGCCCACGCCGGCCCAAAAGAACCTGGCCACCGCAGCAGCTGCCTCTGTTGCCCAAAATGCGCTTCGCTCATCTCAGAACTGGACCAGCGCGGATGTTCTGGAGCTCTTGGCCTTGGTGCATGCGTTTCAAAATTTTGGGAGGCACCCTCGCATGACCTCCGAGGAGGGCCCTCCCCCCCCCCCCCGCAATGCAGCCAATGCACACCTTTGGAGAAGGCCTCCATCCCATCCAGCATCTTGCAAAGCGCCATGCTTATCCAGCGGCAAGCACGAGCTTTTTCCATGCAGCTTGCCTGCTGCTCCTGGCAGCAGACTGTATCGAACTTCTTGTTCTGCAGCTTACCTTCTGCATGTTTCTGTCGTTGAGGTAGCTACTGTCTTTTGCAGTCTTGCTGCGACAGAATTATCCTGCAAACAAAAGCATATGCCACGTGTGGAGCGATTGTGAAGAAGCGAAAGTGGGATCAGCTGTAGGGGGCCGTTGCTCGGCATGTTGAAGCTAGTAAGATGTGAAAGATATAGTGACTTTCTTTGAGGCCGGGCTTGCAGTGAACTGTTTGCAACGGCCAGTCGGCCAAAGGTCTCCAACATCTTTCGGGTCTAAAAGAAACATGTCCAACAAAACTCACTCGATAGAAAGGCACAGATCAATGGAGTCCAGTTCATGTTACACAATAGCAGAAGATGTAAGGGAAAACTGTTGAAGATCGAGTGCGAGCTGACCATCAGATGACGTTCAAGGCATTTGAAACTTAAGTCACACTCACGGGCAAGCATGAGCGAAACATTTGCCTACACTCAACCGAAAGCCATTCGTTAGACAACTTGATGCAAGCTCTGTTGACAACACGCAGGCATGTGGGGGCCTAGTGACCCCGGCCCGTCCTGGAAGTCACGACCAGATCGCAACAGCGATGCGGCCCTAAGGAGCTGCAGCGGCGTCTCCGCTGTTTGCAGCGTCAAGCCCTGCCAGCCGTAAGCAGCTTAAGGGAGGCTCAAGCAGCCTACACCAGGCATCGGCAGCACAGAACCTCTATCCCCCCAAAACATAGCCCCCAAGTGAGCATTTATTCCCCGCCCCCCCACCCCCCCCGGCCAACTCCACGCTCTTCCCTGCCTGGGTTAGGTGGATGCAGATGGCATCTCCAGAAGAACGCGCCTCCAGCTCTGGCATGGCTGAGGAAACTGCCTGGGGCCATGCAGGCAGGGGTGGTTTAACTAGGGCATTTGTTTTGGCTTAGGGTGCTTTTGGTTTAGGGATTCAGGATTAGGGATTAGGGAGTAGGGTTTAGGGTTAAAAACACACCCGCCGGCATCAAAGATGCTACAGAGCGAAGAACTTCCGGAAGTGGGCGCTCACAGCTTGTCTCTGCAGGTGCATGAACATAAAGGCTCTTCCTGAGTCCTGAATCCCTAAACCCTAAACCCCTCTTCAGCTACCAGCTGCAGCCTTGACATCCGTCCGGCACAAGCTCCGAGAGAATTGTCACGAGATTCAAAAAGAGTCAAAAAGCCTCCGAAAGACCACGGCTGCTTCGAGGATCGGGGCCCTGCTGCTCAACAACGTGCCGAGGTTAGCGACACCCGAAAGGTCGATTTCGGAGCTCCGGGTCATGGCATGCTGGTTGTTGCAAATCAACAGAATCGACTGGCAGGATTTCTTGTGTTGCAGAGGCCCTGGTTTTTTTGCGAGCCTCAGTGGTCATTGCGGCCACTCAGTTGTGACAGCTACAGGACCTCAATCCTCGTGACTGACAGTTCTCGCTTCTGGAACTTGACGCCTCCGCACGCGTCATACTGCGAGCGGCGCCGATCACATTTTTGCTCTTACACAGCAGGCTCCCAACGTTGATGTCTATGCAGAATGGAGGGTTGGGAAAATTGCACACACGAACACAAGCTCAAGCTGTCAAGGCATTGCGCTTTGCAGGTAGATTGACGCACACTCTTGCCCAGTGCCCAAAACTCAGACAACTCAGGGAAGTGGCCTTTAGCCGTTGTGGTACCAACTCGGGGCGGAGGTGGAACGTGACTTCCCGCACCGAGTCCTGAGCGCCATTATTCAAGAACAATCACGTGCGTTTTTACCTTCAGGGCTCGGAGTGTTCACAGACCATGTCATGCACACTACCGGCTACGCTCAAAAAACACAAGAACCTTCCAGGCAGGCAATGCAATGCGCAAGCAAGGCACGTGGGTGTTTGCAAAGAAAGAGAAGCCGTAGTGTGTCAGAAGCCTGCTGTTTTCACAGTCTCTCTGGTACAGGTGCAGCACCTCGCCACATGCAGACACACTGCTCGAACTGCTTGTATCAAGGGAGCCAGGGGTTTAGGGTTGGGGTTTGGGGTTTGGGGTTTAGGTTTTAGGGTTTAGGCTTCAGTTCCCTGACCCAAAGCACGGGCGAGGCCGACGCGCGACCCACGAAGCCGCAATGATCAATACATCGATGCAGCCTTTCTAGGGTTTCTTTGCCCCCCGCATACCCGTGCATGCCCACTCAGGGTTTAGGGTTTAGGGTTTAGGGTTTAGGGTTTAGGGTTCAGGGTTCAGGGCTTAGGGTTTCGGGTTTGGGGTTTAGGGTTTAGGGTTTACCTTGCAAGTACGGTTATGGAATTGGGCTTGGGGCACCTCTTCTCCCGGCTCGTAGCCAACGGCTCCAGCTGGAAGCAAGAGGCCTGAGCAAGAGCGACCGCCCCAAAGCTGCCCATCATCTTCCCTTCATGCAGCGAAACCCTAAACCCTACTCCCTCTTTTACGGCTACTCCCTTTTTTGCATCAGGACTTGTGCAACCCTACTCCCTAAACCCTAAACCCTAAACCCTCAACCCTAAACCCTAAACACGATTCTGTATCCTTGCGCCTATGCGATCTATCCCCGGGCTCTTCAACACGTCAAGCTTGACAAGCCAAGCATCGTGCCCCATCCTGGTCGAAGCGGGCCTTGCGCATTTTCAAGGATTGGGAGCTACTACTGCTTGCTTAAGAACTCCCCAAAGAGGAAAATCCTCTTCCTTCTCGTGCCCTTAAGCAAAGAGTAGGCTAAGAGAGTACATGGGACTGTGTGCGCGACTGCAGATCCAGAAGCTTGGAAACTGAACCGACGTGGCAACATTCATGGGCGGGCGTGCTTAAACTGTGCCCCGAACCATTCAAAAACAATCCCAAACAAAGGCGTTTTGGAGATGCCTAAGAGCATCTTCTCTCAAAAATTCGCAACATCTCCTACGCAGTTGTCGCAAAGTGGGACCGAAAAGTGCTGAGGCAAACCTGGGCGTTTTCCGCGAAGTTTCAACCCGTTTTCGGTCTCGGGGAGGGGACGGTTCAAGGGCTTGACGAAAGGTTGAGCATCTGCTGTTCGCAGTGTCCGGTCATAGGTGCGTGTTAGGATTTGCCAGATGACTGCTGAGTGTTGACCCGCAAGCTCACTATCGCCCTAACCCAAGAGTACACCCGAAACCCTCAGACTGCAAGCTTGCCGTTTCCGAGTTAGTGGTTCCGGAAACAAAGACATTTTGAACTCCAAGAAGATGTCCTTCGACCTGAAAAACGAAGAAGAAAAAACAAAACGGATGTGGCATTTTGAGCTTCGAAATGGCGCTGCAAGCTTAACACCTTGCGTGTGGGCCGGAAAAGGTGGCCCCCCTTCTGCGGTTGCATGGGCGCAGCATACAATCGGCCCCAGGACCTTCTCAACCACACCCACTGAATTGCGAAGATGTTCCCTTCGTTCAGGCTCATTCCTGTCAAATCCTCAAACCCTAAACCCTAAACCCTAAACCCTAAACCCTAAACCCTAAACCCTAAACCCTAAACCCTAAACCCTAAACCCTAAACCCTAAACCCTAAACCCTAAACCCTAAACCCTAAACCCTAAACCCTAACTCAAACCACAAGCAGACTCAGGTTACCGGCCTCTACTTCCGCATCAGGCCGGTGGTTCAGAGAATCCAGTAGAGGGGAGAGGCCATCGGAGTCCCAGTCCCCATCCGACCTTGCCCACCAGACTGGTTTAGGGTTTAGGGTTTAGGGTTTTTTGTTTAGGGTGCACTAAACAAAGGGTTTAGGGTTTAGGGTTTAGCCTCTCACGGAAGTTTTGAGTTGAATGGTGTCTTGGCCCTTTGGCTTTGACTCTTGCAACTCGGACAAGCCAGGCGGGGTTTACAGGTCCTTCTACAGGGCTTGAAGCTCAACCAACGGCTGGCTCAAGGCCCCTCCCAAAGTGGCAGAACAAACGGTTTCATTCACGACCTCAATCTCCATTCCCTGCCATCCAGACCCTAAACCCTAAACCCCAAACCCTAAACCCTAAACCCTAAACCCTAAACCATTTTGAAACTCGTTTCTGGAAGAGAGATCAATGTTGGCTCAAGAAGAGGCCGAGGCCGGGACATGTCAAAAGCCACACGGTCGAAGGCGCGGGAGACGTAGCATGACCTCACAGGGCTGTATGCTATGGTATACAACCCATTACATTAGAATCTAGTCTGTAGATATCCTGAATGAAAACATATTGTATTACGATATCATGCAATATTGTAGAAGAAATGAAAAAGAATCCACCATAATATACAATGTTTCAAAAGAACAAAAGAACAGAGTATAACACACCGCGATGTGTTGCTCAAGATACCCGAGTGACCCTCAAATAAGCCCAACTGTCTATCAATACCCCCCGTTTCCCATATAAAATTGAAGACATCCATGGTGGTCCTTCCCCCCCCCCCCCCCACTTGCTGCGAAGCGTTCAATACTGACTCCCCCCTGTTCCTCGAAGGCATCAATACAAAGACAACTCTGAGGGGGAGAGCTACGCTAGCTTTCGTGATTATATAGTTATATATAGATACATGTAAACCTATATGTACAGTAATTATACTTGTGATTTAAGGGTCTGAAAGGGTCTCAAGATGGTTTGGTTCGTAAGTTTGAAGGAAAGGGGACCTGTGTGCTGCTGAGCCCACCTTGCCCATCGCCACGCCTCGTAGCTGAAACGCTCTGAGGCGAAAAAGTCCTCGGCTTTAGAGACTCACATTGGGATGTTCCCCCTTAAACTAACAGTCCTTAATGGGGATTATAATGATTATAGTACCCCCGATTTTTTCCTTATTCAGGACTGTTAATATAGGGGACCATCCCAAGGCTCACACCTGCAACCGAGCAAAGAAACAGCGAAAGCGAAACGATGTCAAGCCGCTGGATCTGCTTCTTGAAGCTTGCCCAGCAGGTTGCGATGGCTCTCCCTTTCGTCCTTCACCGCCTGACACCAAATTTAAAGCCAACAGATGCATGGGACATCCTCAAGTGACTCAAGCCTCAGAACAAGACGCAGCTGCGCCTGCCGCGCTTCCTCTAGCAGCGGCGTGCCTACGAGCCACTGTAGCGCTTCCTCATTCGTGTACCAGCTCCTTGGACGCTGAGGAACTCGTGTGACACTGTCACACAACTTGTGCTGCCAGGTTCAACGCCAAGTTTCAGCGGATCACTTGCCGGTAGGATCTGCAGGTAGGGATACCAGCCGCACAATTCAGGCTCCTGCCAGCATTGCCACAGCCTGCCCTTCCAGGTGAAACCGAATTCACAGGCCAAGTGAAGGTGACAGTCCTCCCGACCCCAGATCATGTACAACCACAGCAGCCTGAAGCTCTTTAGAACAACGCATAGTTCAACTCGAGAGGGGTTATACAGGGAGTGCCAGAATTTCTTGAATAACTTTCTGGAGTCTTGCAGTCACTGCAGTCCTGCACCAGCGAAAACGTTCCGGCTGCTCCTCTCTCTTGGTTTCAGCCGAGACGCTCCTCGCCCCGAATTTCGGGAATCACCGCCAGCACCTGCCAGCGCATATTGAATACATGTACACACACAAACAGAGATTAGTTATGAACACTGATCATGTAATACGAATATTCATGATTTAGCGCATATACAGACATATGAAAATGTCTGTATGCATGCACGCGTGCATGCCTTTCTGTACATATGCAGAACCAACTACCAACTGACTCCAACTCACTGAGGTGCAGGGTGCTGGCATGCAACCAACTCGTCTGCCTTTGCACCGAATGTAGACTTCCGGACTTGGGCGGCGTGGAGGATAGCCTCCGAATTCACTCGAAATTCACGCCTGTGCCTTGAATCCTAAACTCCCCCGACTCCCTACTCCCTCCCTATTTTGGACCCTTGAGCCCTGACAGTCAGCCTAACAGGTGCAGCTATCATCCCAACCCATGAATTGGCCGCCACTCTCAACCCACATCGACCGCAGCTCTGCTTTCAAGCGGCTTTCAGCGGGATCCTTGCAGGCGGGATCATTCGGGCTTGGTTCCAAAAGAGGGCCCCCATATTTTTGTTTAAATCATGTGTGCAGGGGGGGGGGGAGGGATGCTTGAAGGAACCCCATCTATCTCAGAAGAACAGACAGCCAAAGAATGAGGACAACCATATGTCCTCCTCACCCCCCCCCCTGCCCACACTGCAACTACTCAGCACAGCCCGCGTCCTCACCAAGGCATCCCCTGGACCAAGGCGGCGACACGCCTCAGAAGCCAACCATCACACAGAAGCAAAATCATTTCGAACAGAATCATATAATCCCTATAAATATACTAATGGATTTATGTCAACACTCCCATTTGTGCTTTCTTCTTGTCGCTATTATGTCCACCTTCCCTCGTAACCAGCAGCAGCCAGGCTCTGCTGCTTTTCAAAAAGCCAGGGGGCAAAGACCCCGATTCCGCCGAACCGGTCGCAGCGAAGTTCCACCCCCAGATCCTGACCAAGATCGCGGAGCTTCGGTGCCCTGAGCCACCGTGAACCCCAACACCGCACCTCAAGGTCGACAGAAAAGCTGGTCTTCAGCCATTCTTTGAAGCTTTGGACCTGAAGTTCAGACATCTTGCCACGCCTTCTCTGCCGAAGTGTTCGGGTTTAGGGGTTTAGGGGTTTAGGGGTTTGGGGGTTTGGGGGTTTGGGGGTTTAGGGGTTTAGGGGTTTGGGGGTTTGGGGGTTTGGGGGTTTGGGGGTTTGGGGGTTTAGGGGTTTAGGGGTTTGGGGGTTTAGGGGTGTTCCGGCTGCTTGCCTTGTGCACCACTGTAGGACTCGCCATGGCATGGCACGGGCGAGGAAGGTGTGCTTAGGCTTTTTCGTTTCCACCGGGACGACTGGTTTCAGAAATGGCCACTTGCATGCCAGATTCAGGGCAGCTTCGGGTGCTGGGGGCAGGGTCCAATGTAAGCCGTTGCCGTGGGCGATCTCTCTACATCTCATACAACCACAATGCAACACCCCATGCCCTATCGATCGCTATCGCAAGATCTCCCAGATCCCCATCGGCCATGTGGCAAGCATGAGCAAGCAGCAAAGAGCTGCGAAGGTGAAGCTTCAAAGCCATGAGTCAGCGGTTCTGTGGGAGGAGTGCCTGCAGCAAGACTTGAGGCCGTGGTGGAAAGTGGAGCTGCAATTCCCGCACCGGCTCGTCCAGGCGAATTGTCAAATGCTTTCCAAGGGGAGGGTCGGCACCCAAGAAACCGGATGTCTGCTGGACGCGTCGGGACGAGCAGCTTTCGCCTGCGACGACTACGCGGGGGCCTAAAAGCAACACTTCGATGCCACAGCAAATCCCGTGCACATCCCCTGATCACCAAGCCAGTTGTTAGGGCTCGCAATTAAACCCCTAAACCAAGAAGCATTGAGCCCCCAAGGCTGGGGTCCATGCACGTGCGTGTCGTCTCCTGCAGAAGGCACAACGCACGTGCTCAATCTGGTTCACGAGCTCCAGCCACCAAGCCATGAAATGAAGGGCATCAAGGGACCACAGCTTTGTGGGGACTTTTTTGCCGCCGCGGACTATAGGGTCGGGTGTGAAACAAGTGTGCAAGATCTCTATAGCAAAAAAGTCTATAAGTGTCTAAGTAAAGGCCGTCTCGTCCGAAGCCGGCGCAGGCTGCCGCACCCAGTCCTTGCGCTTTCTCTCAAGGCCTTTGTACGTGTGCGCCTTCTGTCTGACCTTCTTTCGCTGCTGCTCCAACTCTTTGTTGTGCGTGTAGCCCACCTGTGCACGAATGCGAAACATCTGCTCATCTTTCTGGTCTTCCGACAAATGGGTCCAGAAACAGTCGTGAAGGGTAACGACCCTCAGACCTATCTTCCGAGCAATCCGCGACTTGAGCCCAATCCAGCCCGAGGGTCTTGGCCTGCCAGGTCCCAAAGGCAACATGGAGTCGCACTCCAATGCGACCCTCGGCTCCATCATAAACCCTGCGAACCAACAATGCTGCTCATCCCACTCCCGGCCGAAGGAGCAGTTCAGCAGCGCTTGTGTGTTCGTGCGCTGTAGACACATGTCCACGTCTCTCTGCATCTGGTCGGCTCCCTGAGGCTGGGCATGAAGAATGATGCTGTCCAGCCAGCGGTGGTGAAGCAACTCTTGTATCCACATGGGCATGGCCCGCTTAACGGCTTCTTCACATGCGGGCTTTTCAACATCAACACAGTACAAGACTTGATATAAGAAGAACTGGGCCCACCCTGACTGCTCCAGCTGGGACTTGTCATGGAGCTGCTCGCAAGCGCGGACAATGAGAAGTGGTAGCACCGGATAGCCGTTGGCTGTCTCACTGACGTCATATAGCCCGGACAGTACTACGCCGAAAGCGGCCTTTGACCAGTCATGCACGCTTGCGACACCATCAGGATCATTGTCCTCAAGCAAGGCCCTTCGGCCGAGCTCCTGCACGATCTGCCCACAGAGTGGGCCATAATCGCGCGTCCCTGACCCATCCAGGCCGTCGAAGATGACCTGCTCGCCACCGAGGCCCAGGGAAGCAACGGAATGCAGAAGCAAGGTCAGGGCTTCTGTCCGGAAGCTGGTCAGGCTGCGGTCCACAGCATCCAAGAGATGGGGCAGGAGCGGAACGCAGCGGTACTCCAGGCAAGCCATGGAGTAGAGCAAAAGCGGCGCCACTGCGTCTGGGAGCTCCTCGCGCAGCTTCCACAGATCGTGGGCCAGGCTTCGAAACTGCTTGTGCTTGGTCAGCAGCTGCCTGTCGGCTGTCGAAAAGAAGGAGTTCGGATCAAAAAGGAAGCCGAGCTGCGCAAATGCCCGGATCAACACAGCCGAGTCCGCGCCACCACTCGACACATGCCGCTGATACACTTCCAGAACCTTGGCAGGATCCGTGAGGACCTGAGAAGAGGCCAGGTCTGCCAGGTCGGTGGGTGTCAAGTCATGCGGAGGAACTGTCCGGAAGACGTCCGTCTGCAGCAACTCTTTCGGCTGCCGGGCGCGCAATGCTTCCATTGACACCATGTTAGGTGTGTAGCTCGTAATACGTCTTGTCGCCTGCAGAATCCGGTGCCATCGCGAGGAGCACCGCGACGCAAACATGGATGGGAAAGGCGCAAAATTGCATCTTGGGCCATGAAAGGCTTGTGGAGTCTTTGCTGTCCGTTCACAACCGCACTTGTGCCTGTTCAGGGGCAGATGACAAACTTTCGGCAGGGTCGAAGCAGCTTGCCTTTTGCCAGCGGCCCCCCGAGCCCCGCAGTGTCTACTTCCACAGCTCGTTTCCTGCGCAGTTGGCTCAGTTGGGTATCCTCTTCCACTGCAGCGGCACATGTTGCTGCCAAAGGATCATCGACCATCCGGCTTTCTGCTGAAAGGAACTGCCCACAATAGATGTAGCTTGCACTAAGAGAATTATGCAACGTGCGTCGCCCTTAAGTTCTAGAAGGCTCCCTGAAGTTTCCACGGTTACCGCCTACATTAATGTTCCGCAGGTAAGAGAAAGCTGGAAGAATTGGTCCCAACTCTGCAGACTAAAGAGCTGTCCAGGTTCTGTTTCGCCATACATCACCGATGACATAGCCCACCTTGGAGAAGCCCAAGAAGCCCCGCAGAGAGCATGGTACTGCACGCAACTGCGCCATGTAACGTATGCTTGTAGGCCCCCCCCCCTCCCGCCACTCCCCCACCCCCTACAGGAATCTACTTTTTCCTTGCTTGTCGTGAATCGTAGGTGGGGGCACGTACCACATATTGTATACACATACAATGCTACGATATACATGTATATGGTACAGCCACCTTTGTGGCTGTTGTCGGGAGAGATGGAAGAAACCCATCGTACTGGTGAATCTGGCTTCGAGCGCACAACTCGAGAAGGTCACACTCTCAGACATGCAGTCTTGGGCTTTTCCTTCGTGACAAGTAACAGCAGGAACATATTCACGCATAGACCTGTCCCATGCCTGTAATTATTGCTTTGCACTTGCATGAACCCTCGAGAACCGAAACTCTCATCCAGTTTGGATCGGACTCAAGGACAAGCCACTCACTTGAGAGTCGCCTTTTGGCTCACCTACTGCAAAGTAGAAGCGCTCTCACTTGCGGCTACATGGGCCCGGACAGGTGCTAAACTCACTTGCACCTAACCTCAAGCAACCAAACCAACTTGCGACTCGTTTGGATTTAGGGCGTAGGGCCTAGGGTTAAAGGCTGTCTGGGCTTAGCGCTACACGCTTGGGGCTTAAGGCTTCGGGCTGAGGATTGTTTTTGCCACCCGCCAAAACTGCAACAACTCGGATTCCCATATGCCTCATGTCTCAGGGTTGAGGGCTTAGATCGCGCGGTTGAGGGCGGGCTTGGGACAGCAGGGCTTAGATCTTGGGGTTGAGGGCGGTCTAAAAAACGCACCAGTGCCGACTTTTTTTGAAAAAGTCACGGTGTGCTTGTGATTCCCAAGAGGGCATGCGGTCCACAAGTGCATCTATTCTGTGGGCTTGTTGTCTTTCAAGGTGGGGGGGGAGGGGAAGGAGGGAAGAAGGGGGAAGGAAGGGGGGAAGGAAGGGGGGAAGGAAGGGGGGAAGGAAGGGGGGAAGGAAGGGGGGAAGGAAGGGGGGAAGGAAGGGGGGAAGGAAGACGATGCGAGGTCACCGGGATTTCGACCTCTTGTTCTGCCACCTCGCCAGTTCTTGACGCTTCTTTGGGCACCGACCTCGGACCGGCCAAGCAAACAACGCATGTAGCAAAAACCATGGCCCGAAATACTCAGAATCCCTCAGTTTGCTAACGCTCATATTGAACAACCCCACATCAGGGCACGGGCGCGTCGTCTTCTTCTTTGGGCCGCGCAGCAGGAGCCGACATCCTGCGTTGGGCCGAGGTATCCTATAGGTCAAGGGAAGGTATTCGGCGTATAGTTTTGGATGACCTGGGTTTGGGGGGCAGGGGGCCATACCCCGAGTCGGCAGCTACCTACGAGAGCACAAATGACCACTTCGGCCCGGATTGCAGCCCCTCCTCGCCTGAGCATCGCAGCCTGAGGCTGAGGCTTGAGCTGCGATGCTGCCCTAGTCTGCACGATGGTGCGCATGCATGGCTCAACACTGAACGGCCCTTAACTCCCGAACCTCTCGAAGCAGTGGGCCTAAACCATACTACTCCGCATCCAGGAGTATTTAAACCAAGACTGCAGACCACGCACCCCTTTTCGCATGGACTGCAGCCATCACGTTGATAGCCCATGCAAGTGCTGCAGCCTTCAAAACTGCTGTAGTGGTTTCTTTGGATCGTCGTAATTTCTCTGAGACCCATCGAGACCTTCAACAACTTGGACTTGGCACCCTGAACCGTTCATCAACCAAGCGCGCGGCCCCATCGGCCTGCGAGGAAGCTGCCAGCAACAGCACTAGCGCCGTCGCGGCAACCTAGGCAGAGTGTGGCCCCAAAAAGGCATGCTGTGTGACTAACCATGGCCGAACCATGGACCGAATCTTTGACATCAACCTACGGTTCCAAGCATTTCCATTCAAGTGCCCTCTGTGTAAGAGAGTGCGACCCATCCGCTGAGGCCGGCACAAACCTTTGCGTGAGTCTAGACGGGCGTAGCCTGGGTGCAGCGCTAACATGTGTTTCGGAGCAAGAGAAGCCTCATCTGTGAGTCATAAATAAGCATACTTGCTCTTGAGTGCGTGGTCAAAGTCAAGACATGCACTTCTTTTACGCCTGCGCTGGCTGTCCCGCTCAGGGTCTGCGATTGCAGATCACGCCTTCTTAGGATGACTCCTGAGGCAGCCACGGAAGATTTCTGGCCATAATGCAGCTTGAGTCTGTCTTGAGCACAGCATGTTTCAACTCGACTGCGCAACCCTCGAAGACCCCGCACAGGACGCGAAGGCTTTCATATTACCACTTACATTTTCGCTGACAGCAAGTGCTAGGCGACATGTTATCGCCAGCCTCCCCTTAACATTGGCGATGATTGCAAAGTATCTGCAGCAGCATCGCGCAACGCGAGGCTGTACATTCTCACACAATGTCTGCGAACCTACGAGTGCCAGGTCTTCCGGCACAGGCAGCGGCAGCTAGCCATTAGCCCGCCCCTCTCCTTTCTGGTACTCCTCCACATGATGCGCCCATTCCTCCTGTATCCGAAGCAGACGAGAAGAATAAGTCGCTCGGTCTGGCAAGCACCCGGACATCTTCCGAAGGATCATGTCGGCTTGCTTCTTCAGCTGGGCCGCCTTGGCTTCAGAGTCATCCTTGTCGAAGTTGGCATCTTGGAGGTCGGGACGATGTTGGAAGACTTCAGGCACGTCCTCCCAGCCCGCAATGCCCTCCTCCCAGTCGGCCCAGACTTGAACCCGACTCTCGTTCAACTGTTTGGCCTTGTTTAGCTCACGAAGTGCATCGTCTACCGAAGTTGTCTCAGGGTCAATGTTGACTTCTGCCCCTGGCACAGATGTTGCAGAGGTATGGCAGTACTTTACATACACCCTCTCAGATTGGACCTGGCCCTCATGGAAGTCGGCCCGGTATCCCTCACAGATCTGGCGTTGCTGCTGCATTAGGTCGTCTTTGCATTCAAGCAGGCGTTGGAACGAAGACTTCTCAAGCTCTATCTGATCATGTACTTTCTGCCTTTCTGCAAGGCACCGGGCAAGGACGTCATGGCCATCCGTATCCAGAAAGGACTTCAGGAAGCTGTTCACGTCTTGGCCCTCAAACTGCCGGCGCTTCTGCTCAACATAGTGCCGAAACACATCCGCGTCAAAGCCCAAGGGGCTGATCTGAGCAACAACCTCTGCAACGCTCAGCTGATGGCTTCCACCACCACACTTGCACAAGACCGAGGCGTCGATGCTTGAGTTCATCTTCCATCCCTTCTTGGCCGGGCAGTCCAGAGCACTCAGCTTCTTTCGAATCACTGCTGCAGGATCCTCTGGTAATGTCAGAGTCGGTTTCCGCTCACACTGGAGTGTTGCGGGGACCAAGTCTTGGAGCACTGCCCTGGGAGGATCCACCGACATCAGGGAGACCGGTCGGGGAACCAGTGGTGGAGGTGGCAGCGTAGCCTCTAGCAGGCAAAAAGATTACTCAGCACCTATATAGATGGAGGCTCCGCATGCTGGAGATGTACCCTCAAGGACAAATGACAGATGCCCTTAACCCGCGCAGTGAATACCGTCATCGACTCTTTAGGATCTTGGACTTAGCCTCACGCCAGTTGCATCCTACCCTCCTCCATCCAGCCCATGGAACTTCTACAGCCCATCCTCTCATATATGAAGTAGGGTTTATATTTCTTGTATCCCAATAGGACACCGACTAATTATATACACTAACCAATAGGAATCTCAATGCACTCACCAAAAACAGTAATGCAAACCCTGTTTCGTATCGGTGCCAAGATGCGACACCAATGCGCACCAGCAAGAACCTAAGACCAGGCCAGCGCCGAGTCCAAAGCTTCGAGTGGAGAAGCAGGTGCTGCTCTGCAAGCTGCTCCTTCGCACAGACATGGTGCAGACTTTGCCGGTGCCCCCGAGAAAGAATATCAAAGACTACAACCACTCCCATCTTGCTCCTAGGTCGTTTCGGGTTTTAAGCCTCCAGCCTTGGTGTAGCTCGTTGAAGCCGCTGAGGTTCCAGAGCGCATGACCTCCGCGCAAGCCGCACAGTAGATGCCTTCGGGCAGATTCACGGCAGGGCCTTGGTGCACCTGGTTCCTGCGGAGGGAGCCCGGACAGCAACGCTCGGGGTCCCAGGTGCCCTGAACAAGATGAACTTCAAAAGCACCGATGCGGCTCGGCCCCGATGACTTGTGGGAAACGTTGGATGGCATGCCCTGGGGTAGGCGCCGCTCCCACTCCGAATACCGGTCATAGATGCCAGGGCTCTTCTTCAGACTCTTGAGACTTGAGGGCGTTCTGAACTCAGAAACAGTGATGGCCTTGTCAGCGAGGGTCTCCCTCAATTCGGCCGCAATCCTCTTGTACTTCTCACCCCAAACGAAAGTGTCAGGATCCTGGCCCGGTTGAGCATGGGCAGGCAGATAGCCGCTCTCGCTCCAGTTCATCTCAATAACCACAGCACCTCTATGCTTCGAGTCCAGCGGCGGTAACTCCCGCACCAGTTTGAGAACTTTGCTCTTAAGCTGGGTCGGGACCAACTCCTGCATCGGCGGCGGTCCTGATGCAATCTCGCAGGAAGAGGTGCTGCGCTGGAAGGGCCGCACACCCGGCGGTTGCGGGCTGGAGGGGCTGGTTGTACTGGGTGGCTTCCTGTATCCACTCCGTGTGGGTGCACTGGAGGCCGGAGACCCCGGATAGCCGCCATACCGCCGTGAGTAGTCCACCCAGAAAGGCTCCGCTGGCTCAAAGCGCTTGGACCTCGAGAATGCTCCAGAGGCCCGCGTTCGGCCCAACGAGGGCTCGCTCAGGGTACGTCGCATGGACAACGTGTCATGTGCAAAGGTGCCCTATTGCACGTCGCTTGCGTCGAAGTGTTCTCCCTATGACGTAGTACTTGCTGGACAACGCTGTCACATGTTGCAGTTGTTGCTGCAGAGCATTCCAGAGCACTGAGCCAGAATTGCTGCCAACCGTTCATTGTGGCAGCTCGCATCCGCAACCTGTCCGCAATTCTTCACATCTGCAATTCTTCTGCTGTGGCCAAGTTTCTGAAAGCGTCACTGTCTGGGGATGCGTGGCATCGGACAGAATACCACACATGCCACAAACCTGCATCTAAGAACCGGTGAGGACTTGACATGGACCTCTGCTGCAGGCCTAGCGACAGTGAGTTGGAGTCGGAGCCAAGTAGCAGGCACTTCTGGCACGCCGCCCTCACACCACACTCCTTCCTGGGGCTTGCGGTCCAGGCCGCAGTGGCCTTGCTCGCCCTGATCCTCAGCGTGCTCACATTTGAGGGTTGTTCTTATATATCCTTGTTCCATGGCTGCCAACTAGGATCCCTTGCGCTTCGCCCTTGCGCCAACCTTGCGCGGGCTTGCGCGCACGAGGTTTTCGCAAGTACTAGTAGATGTGGAGGGTCAAAATAAACATCGCCAAGAGATAGCTTGCGCAGAGCTTGCGTTCGCCCTTGCGCGAGCTTGCGCGCGCTCGAGAGGTGTGCACGTTTTATCACGACCGACCTTTTCCCTAATCGACCTCCTAAGTATCTCACAAGAACCCGCCAAAAAGAAAAACCCTCATTTGCAAAACGGAGCAGTGGGCCAGCACCACGCACATGAACCCTGACGCAGCAGGTGTGCCGGGCGTCGCTGGAAAGCCTCAGCAAGCGCATGTAGCCATCCTCGCCCCAAGCCTCGGAATGGCTCCGAATACACCAACCAACATGCGGCATTACGCAGCTGTCAGCGGGCCTTGCCCCAGGAGTTTCGAATGAGGAAATAGTCCTTGCCCAGACGGTCGCTTCCATAGCCTGCACGAGCCCCTCTTCGGCTTCCCGCCCATGGAGACTCACTCTGAGCATCTCTGGGCCTACCAAGACCACAGCGTGATTGATTGTGGCATCCCGATCACAGCCATCGAAGACTCCATTCCCGTATAGGTCCCAGCGGGATGCATCCACCCCAACCACCAGCGGACCTGGCATGGCAAAAAAAATTGAAACATGTCAACACAGAACACTAGCTGAGAGCCACGTTGGCTCTGTGACCCGACAGCCGCGCCTCTGGTCGCTACCGCTTGCAGCATTGAGTTTAAGTTGTTTGTGGGGAGGCGAACAAAGCCTGTCAATGCTGTCGAGCAGGTACGCACTGACACGAGCCCATGCTGCTAAGGTCGTGAGAAAATCTGTGATCCAAGGCAGTGCCCGCTCCTTGCAGCCGCACGTATGGAGGATTTGCTCTGCCACTGCAGCCCTCCTTGCTCTTCCCGCTGTAAGTGCTGCTGGTATACAGCCCATGCTGCTGCACATACCTTGGAGACACCATCTCCATGAAGCTGCAGGGACTTTAAGCTCATAACCCCCTCTTCTTGCCAAAGGTCAGCAAACGTAGTGGACATGCTGGGCACGCACAATCATGACTACTACGCTGTTCATGCGACGCTGCTCGAAGGCCAGCTCGGAGTTTGCACCATCACAGCCGCCAAGACCGCCGCAGTGCTGTGGATTCGCTACGCAATCCTCACTTAGCAGCACGCCACCGTCACACATGCATCAATCTCTCACACAACGTGACGATGCTTGCAGTACCGGCTAGGGATATGACCCGCCAAGCAAGACTTTCCAAGTGGCCAACAGCTGGTCTACAGACAGCTCGTGCGGCGGCTCCTTGCTGTGGATCTCTGCCTGACAAGATACCATGTACCACACTGAACCCTAAACCTTACACCCCTTTGAAGCCAGACTCGGACAAGCTTGCTGGGACTCCTGCCCGAAACCCGAAATCCTCTACAGCGGAAACCCGGTAAATCCTAAACCCCTATAATCATAAACCCTAAACCCGCTCAACCCTGAACCAATCTAAACCTGAACCCTAAACCCTAAAATCATTCTTTGCGCAATGCCTCCTTACCCTGGGGCCAGGCTGCGTGCATCTCTAAAGCTCCAACGGCTGCGAGGGCCCAGCAGGATCCACAGGTGCCCTGCTGCTTCACAAAGCTGCTGGAGTTGAGCTGGCTCCGCCTCCACTGGTTTGGGGGTTTGGGGCTTAGGTTTAGGGTGTATTTTTAAACAACAAGCAGGCAGGCAAGCAAGCAAGCAACAAACAACAACAGCAAAAAGAAGAACGCGAACAATAACAAGAAGAAGACGAAGAATAACAAGAAGAAGAAGTACAATAACAAGAACAAGAACAAGAAAAAAAAAAAAAAAAAAAAAAAACAAGAACAAGAAGAAGAAGAAGCAGAATAAGAAGAATAAGAACAAGAACGAAGACAATAACAAAGAGAATAAGAGGAACAATGAGAACAAGAAAAAGAACAAGATCAAGAAAAGAAGACTAACAAGAACAAGAAAAAGACGACAACACCTGAAGCGACAAGTGCATGCCGCAGAGAATCATCACAAGTAACCCACGGATCCGGCCAGTCAACGCTCTCTGGTAGGCCCGAAGGATGCGAGCTGGGTGTGGTCCGAAGCAAGCTCGTCATCCTGAATCATGTGGGGGTTTCCGAAATTAGGGGGAGGGGGGGGGGGGGGGGGGGGTCCTTACGATAAGGGAATCCTATTTTTTTGGGGGGCTCTATGTAAGGGGTCCCTCTGATGTTCGTAAGCTCCCCATGTGATCTAAGCTTAGCATCACCTGCACCTCGGCGCACCTCACCTCGAACATCACTTTCCTAAGCATGTCCGTTATCAAAGCTGGCACCCGAGCCTCCGCCACGAGTCTGTCATGCTAGGCCACCCAAGCGTGTGGAACCTGCTTTGGATTACACCTTGGCTTGCAGGACGTCATGCTACACGAAGGGCACGGGGAAAGCCCTCCCAGCAACTGAATGCTGGCTGAGACACTCGACCGCAACTGCAAGAAGGCCGCGCTACCTTGATGTGAACGTCGATGGCCGAGTAAAGACCGAAACTCCTCACAAAGCTTGGTGCTGCATGTTCGCACACTCCCACTCTCCAGCACGAGGCCATTTCGACGAAATTGCGCTTGGGGCGGCCTCCGGTGTGTAGTCAGCAAACTCATTGATCTCTGCCTGGTTCCCAATTTTACTTCGGGCTTCTGGACATGTCATGCCACTCTATTCACCTGAGCTGTTGCTTGATTCTCAGGGTCCTTCCAGCTGCCCTCTTGGCTGTTGATCTGCTGCACAGCGGACACACGCTTGTTGAAGAGCGCTTGCCGCAGGACGTATTCGTCACCAAATGCGTCACCGCGGCCTGGCAGACAAGTGCTGCAGTGACGGATGGCACGCTCGCTCCCGGGCCCCGCCATACTGCGTCCGGAACTCATCGTAGGAACTTCTTCCAGCTCGCAGCTCCAAAGCCAACGGCAGGAAAGCATGAGCCTGCTCCCGTTCACTATGACATTGGCTGCGCAGCGTTGTCAACAACATTCCATGCTTTGTCCAGGGGGCCGATGGCAAGATGCCGCATATGCAGGCAGGCCATGTGAACTTTAAAGGAGCCAAGCCGCAAGAACTCCAAGCAGAAGAGTCTGCCAAGAGAGCATTGCTTGTATGGAGAACGGGAAGTGGGAGGCGTGTCTCACAAGATCATCGCAGCTCATACCGTAACTCAGCACAGCAGATTTATTCGCCTCACACTTCACGAAAGGTGTAAAAAGGGGCAGTAAGGCACTTTGAGTTCACGGTCGAACTCTGTGACAAATCTAAAACTGCAGCTGGGCAATCAATCTTTCACCAAAATGGTCTAGGTAGGCGTCATACTGACCACATTCCTTGTTCTCACCTTTGCTTGCCCAGCTGAGTTGCCCCAATGGGCTTTCTTTGGGGAGCTAAATTTTGGACTGGCAGCTTTGATCCAGCACCGCGCGCAATCACACCGTGAGAGGCTACACCAAATTTGTGTGAGTGCTCGTTGACGTGTCGTTCCTTCTTGCCTGCCTGCTCTTCCCCTCCACGTCCGCATCCGGCACGCTTTGTGGCTGGGCATCTTGAAGACTACTTTGCTCATGATGCGACAGGCTGTGGCTCTCGGCTTTGCAGTGTGAGACCTTAAGCAATGGACAGATGACAAGCATTGCCATCCATTGGAAACTGATGGAAACTATGCAAGCGAATCGTTCGATTCAGAACGCCATTTTTTGTACATGCAGGACAGAGCCAGAGCGCTTGAAACATTTCACGCCCGACCTAGGCCTAGAATCACACAGGCAACCACATCACCAGGCCCGTCATGAAGACAAGGGTGAATAAGTCGCAGGACAGCTGCCTCTGAAGGTAGATCTGGCGCAGCTCCTCGTCAGCAACTACAGAAGTGGTACCCTGGTTTCTGCTCCTCAATCCGTTTACCATCCGGACTTGTGCAATGTAGCCTTTTTTCCTAAGACTTTGGGGCGATCGGTTCTCCCCGCTTGTCGGCCTGTCCAAGCTGGCTCTCTTGCATGACGTTCCAGAGGTCGTGCTTGGCAAAGTCGCCACATACAGGAGGTTGCGGCTCGACTGGGTGAGCAGCAGCAGCAGCAGCAGCAGCAGCAGCAGACATGGAAGCTCGTGGAATGTGCAATGCTGCATGCAAGGTGTTGGTTATGCCTGGCTCCGGCTCATTCTCCCCCGACTTTTGGCTGGTTATGTGCCTCAGCTTTTTGAAAGCGACGAGTCTTGAAAATGTGGCAAGGCGATTGCTCACATTTTTGCTTGGTTTTTGCACACATTCGCGCGTCACAATGCAGGGCAGGAAGCACGGTTGACTCTACAAAAGGCCACTGGCAGCCGAGCTGCTGTAGCTCCCCAATGTCAAAGTCTTCCTCTCCTTCCGAGTGCCAAGGTGCCGATACGATATGGGCTGCTAACTCTCAGAATCTACAAGTTGTGCAATCTGGATTTCTCGCTCATTCCTTGCATTTCTTTCACTCTCCCACATCGACAGCACCAGTCACAAGATCATCTTTCTTCCCAAAAGCTCGTCTATTTGCACAATGAATAAGCTCTTTGTGACTGTCTACCTTGACACGCGCTTGCAGCAAAGATGTCGTTATAGCAGGGTTCCCGGCTTTTCTGAGAGCCCGTGTAAGACGAACCACACTTCCAGGCAATGAACCCAAATTGACGGCGCCCCGGTATCAATCTGCAGCGTTGCCCGGTATCCAGCTGCTGGGGGCCCCAACGAGCAAATTCCTGAACCCCTATAACTGGGGCAGCCCATGGCAGCACATTCTGAGGTCGCCGTCCTGTCTCCCCGACGGAGCTCATCCAACGCCCGGCAAAGACGTTGTCCAGGAATGCAAGGGTGTCCGCATCCTCCCCTCCTGGCGTGGCAGGACGTGCATATGCGGTACCAAAGTTGCGCCGCAGGATTGAAGAGTGTCCTCCGTTCGGCCCCGCGTGCTTCATGGATTTCATCATGATCCTGCAAGCGCAAGCAATGATTGTACCATATACAGTCGCCAAGCAACCGCCTTTTTGTTGCCTGCTTGTGTTTTTTCCGGGTGAGACAAAAGTTGACAGAAGAGCGCTAGCTGGGAAGCGAGGCAACATCACAGGCTTAGGTGCTTCACACGGGAACCCATCAGGCCATCAATGGCAGTGTAGTCAAACTGGTTTCCCCGCAGCGTCAGGGATGTCAAGCCCTGGTTCTCAGACAAGGCCATCTCGAGAGCATGGCCACCAGCTTCCTATACTCCCCCTTAGAACCCTAATAAAAATAGTATTATTAATATCCTCTTGGGTTCTATATGAACAAAAATGAAGAAAACAATTCCCAAGGGGGATAGAGGTTCTGCAATGGCATTGCCATCAAGCTCCAGGCCTTCCAAGGTGGTGTTGGACCTCAGCGCCTCTGCCAGAGCAAGGGCGCCCTTGTCACGGATGACCTGCCCTTGGCCACCACAAAGGTCCAGGGTGCCTGCAGAATCGCAAAGCTGGAATATTTGAGAGCAACTACCTCCTGCCCTTTGGCTAGTTGACATGCTGGCACTGGTGCGATCCTAAGCTGCTTCTGAAACATCTTGGAAGCCGGGCTGCGCAGGGAGCGGTTGTTGGATAGCACTCCGGCAATGGCCACCGCGCCATCATCGCCTACAAGATTCTCTGCCAGGCCCAGATGAGTCAAAGCAGAGTTGCCCTTAAGGGCCTGAGCCAGGGCCACCGTGCCAAAGTCATGGATCCGGTTGCCATGCAGCTCCAGGGACCCCAGGGCGGAACAGGAGGTCAGCAAGGGCACCAAGGACTTGGCACCAGCCACACGCAAGTCGTTGGCCGACAGGTCCAAGTGCAAGGACCCAGCCCTACCTCTGCATTCGCGCAATGCTCCAGCCAAGAACCCTCCACCTTCCTCCTGAAAGAAGTTCTCTGCAAGGCTGACGGAAACCAGGGACTCAGCCTCGATGAACTGAAGCATCACTTCGGCGATGCACAACGCAGCCCGGGGCCCAAGGAGGTTGTCTGCCAGGCTAAGCTCTTGAAGCTTCATCCCAGCATGTCCGCCCTCCTTCAGGCCTCTGACCAGCGCCTCCGCACCGCCAACTTCCAGCTGGTTGTGTGCCAGGCTGAGGATCTGCAGTTGCGTCAGGGCTGCCAAAGGTTTCGCCAACACGGCAGCAGCCTCCGCATCAAGGCGGCACTCCTCCAACACCAGCCGCTGCACCTTGGGTGCATGCATGAGGCCAGAAGCCAGCCTCTCCACTGCGGTTCTGCAGAGCTCGTTGTTGCTCAGATCGACTTCCGTTGCTTCTGCGCCACGTGTTTTCAGCCGTGCCAGCTCGTTCTCCAGCTCCGGAGCTGGGTCCTCTGCCTCTCGCTTCCGGGCTTCTTCCATGGCTTCCAATACGCGGGGACAGCAAAACCCCGCGGTTGGGCGACATCCCGCTTTGTGAGCTGGCCAATGCCGGCGCTGGCAGTCTGCGGAGCAGTACGCCACCGTGCCACAGCGTCCGCAGCGCTTAGTGCCAGCAGCTTTACAGCCATCTGCTGCGCAGGACATTTTGATCGATTTATGAAGGGGTCTCCATGGAAAAAACAAAGCTCTATGCTTCACATGCTTACGGGAAAATCGTGGGGCTGGGGGACGGCGGTTGACATGGTCTCTACCAAGTTCTGTAGCATCCGCAGGCTCTCCAAAACTGCCACAGAGTGCAACAGATTCATGTTGCAAGTCATGCTGCCAGGGACTACGACATGACATGAATTTCTTCACACTTGGACTTGGGCTTTAGGGTTTAGGGTTTAGGGTTTAGGGTTTAGGGTTTAGGGTTTAGGGTTTAGGGTTTAGGGTTTAGGGTTTAGGGTTTAGGGTTTAGGGTTTAGGGTTTAGGGTTTAGGGGGTTTAGGGTTGGATCTCATCCAGTCATAAGCTGTCCTCACCACTGACAGAAGAGGCACCGACAGCAGCATTCCAGGAACCCCCCACACCTGAACCAAGGGGGGATGTCTAACTTCCACCCAGCTGCATGACTGTCAATCTCTACCCCAGCCTGGTAGAAGAACCAGATTCCGAGGATGACGATCACCTCAACTGCCAGAATGAAGCGAAGGACGGGCAGAAGAGTTTTGCGCAGTAACTTTGGGGTCTCCGAAATTAGGGGTACCTTATTGGGGTCCTTGTTATACTTGTTATAAGGGACTCCTACTACTCGGGGGGCCGATTTTAGGGGTCCCCCTATTTCCCTGAACCCCCACTTGGCTGTACCTGTGGCCAGCTTCAGGTCCGAGGCACGGAATGGATCTCCACGGAGATGCCAAAGAACACAGGCTCTATCCTGTGCAGGAGCACGGGCCGTCATCAACAGGCGGCCCTTCAAAAGACATCATGTGAGTGGTTTAGGGTTTAGGGTTTACTCGGCGCTATCTCTGAGTCTGAGCAGCTGAGCGTGACTGCATAGGGTTTAGGGTTTACGGTTTAGGGTTTAGGGTTCAGGGTTTAGGGTTTAGGGTTTAGGGTTTAGGGTTTAGGGTTTAGGGTTTAGGGTTTAGGGTTTGGGGTTTGGGGTTTAGGGTTTAGGGTTTAGGTGCTGCTGTCGAAACCGAGCCCAAGCGTCACAAAGTCGATGAAGAAGTGCATGATGGCTTGCAGAACGAAAGCAAGTAGAACCTCAGAACCGAGAGCGAGGAAACGGTTCTTCTGCAGACACTGGCACAATAATGTGTCCAATGCAGTCAAAAACTACAAAAACAATGCCATGGTATCATTAAACCTACCGTAAGAAAACATGACATAAAATGTGTTGCATAGATGTGTATATAGAATAAATTATACAACTAATATGGTCTCAGAACAAGGGTACCCCTTGTAATACCCCGAATACAATAGAATCCCCTTAAACGGACCCCCAAAAAGGGTACCCCTACTTTCGGAAACCCCCACATGAGTATATGCCCTCAACCCTAAACCCGAAACCCTAAACCCTAAACCCTGAACCCCAAACCCTACAAAATGTCAGCAGATGGCCGGCCTGCGTGGGAGTTTTCCTCACGTCGATGATGGCAAGGATGCAGGGAAGCACGGAAGCTGCTGGGGAGCCGATGCCTGGCATTTGTGGCTCTTTTTGTTGTAGGATTTCGGGTTTAGGGTTTGGGGTTTTTGGGGTTTGGGGTTTTGGGGTTTGGGGTTTAGGGTTTAGGGTGTAGGGTTTAGGGTTTAGGGTTTAGGGTTTAGGGTTTAGGGTTTAGGGTTTAGGGTTTAGGGTTTAGGGTTTAGGGTTTAGTGTTGAGGGTTTAGGGTTTAGGGTTTAGGGTTTAGGGTTTAGGGTTTAGGGTTTAGGGTTTAGGGTTTAGGGTTTAGGGTTTAGGGTTTAGGGTTTAGGGTTTCACTCTCGCACAAGACAGGCAAGGTTTGTTAGTCTGTGTAGGACAAACAAGAGGAACTCACGCCAAGCAGTCGTATGGGCCCAAAGAAGAAACCACAGAAACTAAGACCCATCCCCCTCACCCTTTTCAGGCCCAACTACTACATCGGCATCAGCTCGTCAAGAAACGAAACAACTATAGAGACTATAGATCGGTGTATGGTCACATTGGATTCATTTTTTTGCTGTCGGCTCAAGAAATGCTGGAGATGAGCGGAACACTCACCCTCGCAGGCATGCTGCCTGTCAGTTCTGCACGAAAGCTTGGGGCGCCGGAACTAGCTGCGTCGCCCTATGGCCGTATCAGGCCCTAAATGGCAAAAAAAACCGTATAAACCCCTTTAAACCCAAACCCGAAGTCTGAGGACCGATTTGGACTCCCAATGTCTGAACATGACAGGCAGCACGGGATGCCCAGATGTTCGGGCTGAGACAGTCTGATGTAGCCACAGTGCGGAATCCCGCCTTTCCACCGCAACCTCCTATTGAAAAACCTTTCCTGGCGGCGCAAACTTTGGGAAGCTTAGCTCGTCATATCTTGTGCGATATGCATCTCTGGAAACCCTAAACCCCTAGAGCCCTGCAACCCGAAACCCCCGAAGCCTCTAGCGCCAACCAGGAATGGCTGTCTCAATTCGTTGCGGGCCGAGGGATTCTTGACCATGCCACGGCTATCCTGCACATCCTGCACACAGCTCTGCGCTTAGCTGGGGAAGTCGTCATCGCCGAAGACCATCTCGTCATCATCATCACCGTCGTCCTCGGGGAAGAGGCCCTTCTTGCGGAGGAAGTTGTTGGCCTCAAGGATCAAGCCTTCCCTGATCTTCAGCGGGAAGATGCCCTTGTCCGCATTGGTGGCGATGGCTCCGGTGGAGTAGCCCTTTCCCTTGCTAATCATCTTGTATCCGGGCTGGGTGCTCAGGACCTTCTCCAGCCACTCCTCGCAGACAAGCTCCGCCTGCTTCTCCTCCGGCACGTAGGCCAGCACTGCCAGCTGGTCTGCGCCCGCAGAGAAGACCATCTTACCGATGTGTCCGGAGCCACCTTTTCGCTCCTCCTCGCTGGGGTCGCTCTTGGCATTCATGGCCTCAACGCACTTCGTCAGCAAGTCGATGTCGCCCTCCGGCTCGTCCACCGAGGTGCAGAAGAACTGCAGACCACCCATGTCAGCTGCGCCCTCAATCTCGACGCCTCGCTTGCCACCCTCCTTGATGACCTTCTTCAGCTTCTTTGCCGGATCCTCTGGTGGCTTCTCGTCGGACTTGGCCGCCTCCTTCTCCTCCTTCTCCTTCTTCTCCTGGGCCTTTTTGATGTCCTTCTTGTTCATCTTCACCTCCTCCAAGGTGTACGTCTGAGTCTCCACGGTGCTGATGCCCTTGATGCCCTTCAGCTTGGCCAGGAACTCTTCCTCCGGGGCGAACTTGGCCTTCTCCCACTCACCGAAGCCGCTGGCGCTCAGCTTGGTCACCACCTTGAAGTCCAAGCACCCGCCGCAGACGACGCGCTGCACGCTGCTCACACCCTCGACGGAACTGAGATCCGCCAGCACATCCTCGAGAGCCTGCTGCGCAGCGCTCAGGGACGCCTTGTCGTTGTCAGCAGACCACTTGCATCGCCACTCACGGGCGATGTTGTCGAACTTCACGGACTTGGTGATTTCCGGCATGAGCCACCAAAGGCGTCTCCAAGTCAAAACCGCGCGCTTGAGCCAAAAAGCACTTGAGCCAAAATGGCTAGGGTTTCGGGTTTAGGGTTTAGTGTTTAGGGTTTAGGGTTGAGGGTTTAGAGTTTAGGGTTTAGGGTTTCGGGTTTAGGGGTTAGGGTTTAGAGTTCTGGTTTGGGGTTTAGGCTTTAGGGTTTAGGGTTTAGAGTTTAGGGTTTCGGGTTTAGGGTTTAGGGTTTAGGGTCCTCCGAGCTGGACGAACCACACTGCAGGGTTTCGAAGGCGACTCGGGAAAAGCTTGGCCGCTTTTTGTTTTGACAACCGGCTGACACCGACCCACATTTGCCAGGCACATACTGGAACAGTTCGGAAAGCTTGGTTTAGGGCTCAGGTTTTAGGGCAAAACTCGCAGCAAAGTTTAGCAGGAATCCGAAGGTCATGCAGCGCAGCAGTGGGCGAGCAAGGATTCACGACTCACGGGCCTGGCAAGAAGTTGGCCAGGAAGGACAGCAAACCGAAAGCAGCTGGCAAGTCCAGGCCAATAGCCCAGAGAAGAACTCCTGGCACTCGCGCACTCCCACGCGCGCATACGCGACTCGCAACTGTCAGCCGACACTCCCAGAAGTTGTCGAAGTGACAGGTATAGGTTCGGCCAGGATTCCAATCGATAGCCCTGTGAAGGCCGAAGTTAGACACTTCACCTTCAGATATCTGCTTGTGGAGCTGAACACCTTTTCGCACGAGCACCATGAAGTGCGAGACAGTCACTATGCATCCGCATGTCATGTCTACGTGCATGTCTGCCAGGATTCTAGCTAGGCAAGGCCTCTGCAGCAACAGCACTGCCGTCCATCTTGACCGGGCTCCACAGCATGTAAATCAGAAAGATGAATGTAACGACCTCATCTCCGCCGGCTGCCCTCATGTGCCGAGCAATTGGAACACCCGAGCTTCCAAAATGGAGGATCCCGCAGTCGAAGTGCTGTATCCGCCGACCCCTGTGGGGGGCGGCGCCCGTGAAGTCCTTGCTTTCTGGGCTCCCCAGCGCACGACTAAAAACCCCACCGCTTCCGCCGCCTGCACCGCTTCTTTAGCACCCCTCACCCCCTTCACTTTCCCTTCGCCCAGCACCCCCTTTCCTCGTATCACCCACCCCCCCCCCCCCCCCCCCCCCCCATTTCTTTTGGACTATCAAGGGTTTCCTGCTTCCTTTTACAGACCTTTCAAAACACTCCAGCCTTCACATCGCCCCCCTCTCCTTCACCATCTCCATGAAAGGGTCGCACCATCTCCACGAAAATAGGCTTGGCAGATCTCGCTTTGGGGGCCGGCACTGATGCTCATGATGCTGGCTGTCGGCTCCTGCTGGGACGGGCCCCGGCTGAAGGTCATGGTCGGCTCCTGGTGGGACGGGCCCTGGCTGATGCTTATGATGCTGGCTGTCAGCTCCTGGTGGGACGGGCCCCGGCTGATGATGATGCTCGCTGGCGGTTGGCTCTTTGTGGGACGGGCCCCGGCTGACGCTCATGATGCTGGCCGTCGGCTCCCGGTGGGATGGGTCCTGGCTGATGTTCATGATGGGCTGGCGAGCGGCTCTTGGTGGGACGAGCCCCGGCTGATGCTCATGATGCTCGCTGGCGGGCGGGTCTTGGTGGGACGGGCCCCGGCTGATGCTCATGATGCTCGCTGGCGGGCAGGTCTTGGTGGGACGGGCCCCGGCTGTTGCTCATGATGCTCGCTGGCAGGCGGCTTTTGGTGGGACGGGCCCCGGCTGATGATGAGCTCGCTGGCGGTTGGCTCTTTGTGGGACGGGTTTTTTCTGTGGGCATCAAAAGCAGGCCCTTCTTAAAGGATCCCCCTTCCCGCCCCTTTACGAACCACTCCCCCCACCCCCCTTCAGAGGGCCGAGAGCCACCCCGCTTCGTGCGATGCTCCCCCTTGCCTCCTCCCGGAGCGGCACGAGCAGCATTCCCTTTCCCGGAGCGGTGCGGGCCATTTCCTCCTCTTCCAACAGCGCCACGCGCCAGCATTTCCGCGCACTTTTTGGGAGCCAGCCTTCTTTCCCGAGCGTCCGCGACAAGGGATCGCAGGAGCATCAGCAGCTCGGGCCATTCGTCAGCATTTCCAAAAGTTTCTGGAGCCATTCCAGAGCGAGATTTCCTCACACTTTTGAACCTGCCTTCCTCCCGATCAGCGCACGTCGGCATTTCCGCGAAGTTTTCGGAGATCACCGTCGTCCGCCGTTTCTTAGAAGAGCACGTGCTTCTTGGAGCCAGCACGTTTTTGTTCGCCGTGCTCCTAGCTGAAGAGCACGTCCACGTTGCGGGCACATGACAAGCGCGAAGGGGAAAACATGGGGGAAAACTGTACCAACGTTCAACTACCCACTACAGGGCAATGCCATGTTTGTATGTCGGAACATCAGAGCGCCCACTTTCCGGGCGCCCGGCAGTTTTAGGTTTTTTTGCCACCCGCCTTGCTGACCCTCTCGACCACTCCGCAGGGACAAACGCTTCGACTCTCGCACTCGCTCAAGCAGGCAAAGATTCTGGTTCTCTAACCCCTGACATACATACTCAACCTTGTCCACTATTACAACTATGCTGTCAGGGCCAAGCTCGCTCTTCTACTGACACGGCCAATCTTTGGACCAGGGTTTAGGGTTTAGGGTTCCTGGGTCGCGTGAGCCATTCTGGCGCACTGTTTGGAGCCCACCTGTTCCAAGTCCTTTTTTGGAGCCTGCCTACTGCCTGCGCTGCCCACGCATGGGCGCCGCCCCTGTAAGGATTAAACTTTGACTCGAGACCAGTTAACACATGGCTGCTCAAGAAAAGGTTGATCCAGGAAGCTGCTTGCACCGCGGTGTAAATGACGCTCTGGGTCACGACGCTCCCTATATGCTCAACCTCGCCGGAACTGTACTTCGCTTCAACAATGCAGAAACAGGTGACAGCAAACAGTCCACTTCTTCAATGCAGGTTGTCCAGTGTGAGGAGAGGAGTAGAGTAAAGGGACAGCAGGCCTCGGCAACGAGCTCGTCCAGGAGCTCCCCATAATCTAAAGAAGTGATATGAAGATCATGGATGTAGGTCTGCACCCACCTGTGGCCAGGGCATCACCACTTGATGCAGATCAGACGGCTGTTCACGCACGCTCCCCCGACCCTTTGAGGCGTTCGGCGCCCTGCTTGTAAGCATCCATGTTAGAGGATATCCTGAGTTGAGGCAGTCTCCGCAAAGATCGTTGAAATTTCTGCAACGCGGAAGGTTCGTCGCTAGAAATTTTAGCCGTGTACTGAGCCCGCGGCACAGCCCCTGCACGAAAGAAGACTTTGGCAGTCAGCCACAGCACGCGGCCGCTCATCACCAGGCAGAATGCTATTGACAGGGCAACCAGAAATCCTCGACTGATTGTCTGATTGTGCAAATCTGACTACAGTGTGCGCGGCATGGCCATGCTGAGTCTTTGCTGTCCCAAGTGCTCTTCACAGCTGGAATGGGTATTGCCACCGGCCGTGGTACGTCCTAAGGCAGTACACAAAGACATGTGAGAAGCAAGAAGACTCACAAATATTTTGACGAGCAGAGTCTGCCAGCAGCCGGAACTGATCCGGCCTCTGCTGTGGAATCGTCTGGGAGGCTCCCATAGACTGGTGTTGATTCATCAACACTCGGAAGGCGTCCATCTGAAGTTGAAAGCATTCAACAAAAAGCAGACGTGGGTTGGCTGGACACAAATCACAAACCGGCCAGCCGCCTGCAGGGCCATGCGTCGTTGACATGTTCTCAATGCAGAAATCCAGTCGTAAGGTCAGCAGAGTACCTTGTCTTCCAAATTAGGCGCGGGAGGCCGCAGGACTACTGCCACAGCCTTGCCTAGGAGGACTGGGACTTCGCGCAGGCGAGTGGCGAACCACGAGCCGGGAGAAAACTCTCATGACAAACTTCTTCAGTGGCTCCAGCACAATAACGATGAGCATCGCAAAGATGAATGGAAGCAGCACTTCCGCGAAAGTTATCAGAAGCTGGATCGTCAAGTAACCTTCGCCAGAGCAAGATCTGCTGCAGTCTAGCCGGGCGAGGCCGCTAGGAGAACGCATGCTTTAGCGTGCCAAGAGGCAAGCAGTCACAGACACGGCAAACTTCACCAGGTAAAACCCACGGATCTGGGAAGAAGCTAGCTTGATCTGCGAGCCACGACCAGGACCTGGCGCGGAAAGGTGTACCCTGGAGTTGTGTGTGGTCATGTGTCCCATCGCTGGAGAAGGCCAACAGGCGGCCGACCCGGATCGGGCCGGAACTCGCCCAAGCCATCTCTGCCACGAGGTCGCAGGTTCTGCCGCCTTGAGACATATGGAAATATGGAAACATATGGAAACCTATGGAAACCAAGCACCTATCAGCTTGGCCCATGGCAGCGCGTAAGTATTCTCCGTAAGCGAACGGAATCGAAGCTCCTTGTCAGCGCTTGGTGGGGCCTGACAGAAACACAAGGCGGGCAACATACCACAACCACGTCTGTGTGTGTGTGTGAAGTGTACAACTCTGGCCTGCGAGCTCTCCATCTCCACGACATCACCGCTACCCCCCGGGCTAGTCCCAGAAGGAAAGCGAACCGCAGAGCTGTCACCTGGATATACAGCATGACCCAATGCAAAGTGCTCACATCCATACACACATATGTATGGACATGCATCCGTACACACACATATATGTACACAGATAGTATACAGCAGCGCACACCCATCACAATCCTCCGCTTCCCTCGCCTGGGGTTCGAGTCGGCTCCGTGTTGGAGTCCATCAACACGGATCGATGGAAAGAGCTGGAGGCGCTAGGCCGTCACTAGCCCAGGAAGTGCTGAAGTCATGGCATGACTGGAGGACTGCGGCATACTGTGACTCGGGAGTCGAGGGGGATCAAATGCCAAAACACCAGGAGGACCTGTTTACCACAAATCGCACCTTGAAGAAATTAGCTGAGGCACACGGCTGAACAATTTCTTTTAAACACACGTGAGCCGGGCCGGGCGATGTCGGATTGCTGCATGAAGCCATGTCGTGAACCTTCCTGGATTAAGGCTCCGGGCGAGTGACTTGCCTGCCTTCGAGCTCTTCTGGTCTTGCCTGGGAGGCCAGGAAGCACCAAAACGACGAGCAGCAGCAGCAGCAGCAGCGGTGGCGGCGGCGGCGGCATGATCAGTGTGATCACTGTCACCACTGGTCTATCCACTAAGACCGAGGGATACATGAACACAGACCTAACATGCCCAGCATGACCGCCTCGGCCATCGCCTCGGCCAGCGCCTCGGCCGGCACCTCTGTCCGGTGGCATGCCTGGAACTGCCCCCAAGTGATCGAGGAAAAAAACATCCACAAACGTCGAGGACAGCTGGCAGCTGGCACAAGAGTGCGGAATGCACGCTTCTTTGTACTAAGCAGCGTGTATTGTACCTCGCTGTGGTTTCGCATGCGAGCTGGAACCACAGCTTGAAACAAACTGTGTCACTCCCCCAGTGCGACATCTCGCGGTCTAGGTCGAAGGCGCTTCATGATCACGAAGCACTACTGGCCTTCTCCGGCAACATAGCTCCACCCTGGTAGAGTCTGCGCAAAGATGTCGCGCAGCTTCTCCCATGAGTCTTGTTGCCGCGGGCTCCCTTGGCCAGAGAGGCCCAAAAGCCGCCGTCTTGTCTTCAAGGAAGCTCGCTTACTCACGCGCCTTGTCCACAACAGCTGGCTGCGACAGTTCTGTCCCAGCCATGCTGGCAAGAAGAAACTTCAAACACATCAGTTGGCTCTGTCCTGGCCAAGGGTGATTGAGAGGCTGTGCAACAATGGGACGGCTCGCCCAATTGTCGCCCAGGTAGCTCCCAACATTAAACAGCTGCTCACGAAGATGAAGATCATCTTCAGCAACACAAACCCTGCACCATGTAAAGCTTTATTCTATCAATCCCTATAGCCAAAACAAACCTAAATCCCAACAAAGCGCGGCGGAGTCTCGGCGTCACAGAGCTTCACCATGCGAGGCCAAGGTCTTGCAAGCAAAATTGCGCGCTCGATGGCCCTCGTACCCCGTACACCCCGGCACGAGGTTTTTTTGACAAAATCTGCATCCTATAGGCAGTTTCAAACCACTATGCGACGGCTTCCAGTGGCGTTGGGAAAACGCAGGCTCGGCAAAGTGCGGGGTTGAACCCTGCAATTGCTTACGAGGCCTGCGCCTGTCTACACATTGCTCACTGCACGACTAGACATGCAACAGCTGACTTAAGGATAGCAGCATCCTGCCACGAGCCAGTGGGCCATCAGAATGTGGCTTCTATGCATGGCAAACGAGGGAGCTTGGCATCTTGACCACCATGCCTCCCCCATGGTACTTTTCAAAAAAGGGTGCTTTCACCATGTCACCGCAGGAAGGCCAACTCCGATTCAGAAGAAGCCAACACTTGCGGAAAAATGATCGAAACTATAGTTCCATGTCCATGGCAAAGGCATGTTCTCCCCACAGTCTCCTGCAACAAGGATCGGGAAATCTTCCTCTATGGCGAAAGGACCCGACAAGAAACTGAAACTGCACCGCAGCTGTAGAATGGTACCTGTTTGGCTTCTGGGCCACTCGGCCCTGCCGGCAACCACTGGTCAGCCTAAATACGGGACAAGTAACATCCCCAAATGCAGCACAGCACCACAGAGCAGAAATGATCACTCTTGTGAATCTTGCGGACACCTATACATCCGAATGGCCCTCGGGAATTCCGCACAGCCCGGGGCCGGACACTGTACACTGGCCCAGCACGCTAGCATGGGCCCTTGTTTCTCCTACATTGTCCTACATCTCTCAGCGCTCTCCCGCCGGGAGCCACCAAAGCCTGCACGCGGGACCTGCGCTCCTCATAGAACGTGTCAGAAGTCCCAGCACTTCCACACCTCGGGCAGAAGATCACAGCACGTTTAAGTCGAAAAACTTGCCGGGCCCGCGAGTCAAGCAGATCTTGCATCTGACAACTTGCTCACAGACAGGATGCCAGCCCACAGGAAGACGCGTCGGCGGAAGTCCAGAAGAGGAGGCCTGGGTTGCTCAGGGCTCTGAATGTCCCTGAAACCCTGAACCTTCAACACCAACTCTTAAGCCCTAAACCCTAAACCCTAAACCCTAAACCCAAACGCTGATCAATCAGTTTTTGCCAGAATCGGAGTCCTTGCCGCAACTGCGACCTTGTGCCGAGGGACGGCCAGCCTCGCCCATCTGCCTTGAAGCATCCAGGTCTCGCCAGGCCGCCAGCAAGCCAGACCCTGCGCAGATAGGGGGGTTTTCCGAAAATCGGGGTACCCCTTTTGGGGGGTTCCTGTAACCAGGATTCTAGTATGTTGGGGTATATTGGGTGCCCCTAGTTTGGGAAATACAGGAAATACCCATATGGCTTTTGGGGTTTACGGCCGGGTTTCGACTCTTAGTCCCTCTTTCCCTGAGTTTATGAGTATGGATAGATACCGAGATACCGATATAGAGCTGGATACAGCGTATTAGATGCTAGTCATGGGATCCTTCTTTTGACTCTGATTTTATTCCTCATTTGATCTTGTGTTCGTTCGTATCCCCTGCTCTGCAGCTGATCTGGGGGACTGTTGTACGCAATTCAAGGGGAAGTGGGGGGGGGACTTCTGAACACCTGTGGCTTGCATCTTCAATCTTGGGCCGATGCTGTAATGCATGCTCGTGGGACAGTGGGGGGGCTTCTTCTTCGAACGACGCCGACACCCGGAGACGATTTGTGCAGCCAGCTTGCGGCTGTCGAAGATCAGGCTCTGGAGCGATGCATTGAAGGCCTGGGTGCTTAATGGTACTCCCAGACTGCCCACCGGCAGTCTGGGAGTCGTGCTGCCGGCTTGTGACAGGTCCTACACATCCAGCTAAGGCACATCTGTGTCTGGAATTTTTTCCAGGATGTGTACCACCTTGACACACCGACATGGATGCACATCTGCCATTCACTCGTGCGCCAAAAAGAAGAACCGAAACACAGGTACTTCGTTCATCAAGGTCACGTCCTCTGCGCGAGAAGCCTGCCACGAGACGACATGCACGTAACAGGCAAGCTGACACATGAACACAGGATGACGTAGTTCGACAAAGACACCCCTGCTTGCCCTGCACCTCCATCTCCCGGACGTCGAGATCCCGCAGCTTGGCTCCGGTGCGTACAAGGCCTTCCTGCCACTTAGGATTGTGGGGCCACTGATGCGAAAGTCGTTCGCTACACCTTGCCCATGCAAGCCCGAAAGTGCAGATTCATAACATCTCTGTTCGGCAACTGTTCGTCCTTGTCACGTAGCTTGAGATGCGTCCGGATTCCCAACTTGCTGGCCTACCGCTCCAAGTCCAAAACTGGACTGGAAATGCCCACTCAAGCCCAAGCAGTTGGTTGCAAGTGTATTGCTATTCTCATCATCAATATTCTCACTAGTATCATTTTTATCATTATTCTCACTATTATCAGTATTCTCATGACTATCAGTACTGTCACGTATTCTCATTATGATCACTTCTGTTCCTTAACATTATTAGCATTGTTTATTATTATTATCACTATTATCATTATTGTCATTATTATCATTATTATCTTTATTATCCTTATTATCCTTATTATCATTATGATCACTTTTATCATTTTTATCATTTTTATCGTTTTTATCATTTTTATCATTTTTATCCTTTTTATCATTAATATTCTTATTATCATTTTTATCATTATTATCAATATTATCATTATTATCATTATTATCAATATTGTCATTATTATCATTATCATCATTATTATCATTATTATCAATATTATCATTATTATCATTATTATCATCCATAGTAGGCTTTGTCACAGGAACGCTCAAAACCCTATAGCCTATCATCCATAGTAGGCTTTGTCACAGGAACGCTCAAAACCCTATAGCCTAAACCCTACAAACCCTAAACCCGAAACCCTAGACCCTACACCCTCAACCCTGGTGCCTGGGCGATCTCGGCCTGCAGCGCTGAAAGCTGTCTCGTGTCAACCGCCAAAGCGAGTCCGAAACGCTCGGGCAACTAGCGTTAGCTGGGATGTTCCCCCTTAGACGAACGGTCCATTTTAGGATTTAGGGTTTAGGGTTTAGGGTTTAGGGTTTTTCCCCTCCTGCACAGCTGGAGCGAATCCGCATCGCAGGGCGATTTCGAGTCCGGCTGGTTTCGCTGGTGGCTCATGGGTGTCATCGTTTAGGGTTTATTGTTTAGGGTTTATGGCCTGAATAGGAATTATAATAGGGGGTACTAGAATCCCTATTCATGACTGCTAGCATAAGGGGGAACTTCCCAACCCCCTAGTATAATCCGATTAAGGACTGTAGTATAAGGGGGGACATCCCAAAACAGTAGCTATAAGGAATGCAGCATGAGGCATCATCTGGCTGGCCAGGTCAGAACACATTCATTATAGCTGAGCTTCCATACACCATGCTCGGCCAAACACGCCGAACTCGGCATCCACAGCCACCACTTGGCAGAAGTTCGGATCCTGCTGCATCTGCTATGAGTCGTGTACAGGGAGCCCTATATAAACCCCACATACCTTCAAGCCCTTCTTGCCCTCTGTATTGCGGCGAGGTCGCCCGGGCAGCCAGAAACGCCATCATTTCATCAAATTTGTTCATCTCCTGGGCTTCGAATCACGAAACCGCCTGCTGTCTGCAGTGTGCAGCCCTAGTGCCGATCCCTGTACGCACAATGACTGGTGTTCCATGGCTGGTCAAGAATCACACTCGTCACCTTCGTAGTACCTTGGCACACCGAGCGCTGCAAGCCGCACGGATGCAGGGAAGCAAGCAAGCAATCATGCACCGCATGTGCAAAGCAGCGCTGTTTCTTGGCCGGCTGATGCAGACTTGCTTTGGTTCTGAGGTGTACAAACTTTCATACAACTCCTCAGAAGTAGCCAGCCGCAAGTAGTATTGCAATGTTAAGGCAGAAATATCAACATCGTAATCGTCAACCTGGTGCACAAGCGGTACTCAGAGTTCTTCTGGGACTGTACTGTCATCCATGTGTATTGAGCTTATTGAATCGTCCTTCATGATGCGCCTTTTGCGCTTCTTTTGCCCACTGGCGTTGAAAGCCCTGCGGGAAGGCGAAAATCACTGCACCTGAGCACCAGTGGTCGCAGATTCGCCACTTGCCTCGGTATCCCAAGTCTTCGCGGCTGTGCGACGCTGAGTCGGGGCGCAGTAAGAGCAGCAGTGCGGACATGGCTCTGCAGCCATGAAAATCGGTAGCTGCCCTTCCTGCAACAACATGCCAGCAAGATTTTTGCAAGACCTACAAGAACCCACTCAGGATGAGGTCCTCCAAGGGAGTGACCACGGTCACCACTTCGCTGCCCCTGGAACCGCATGGCATCGGCGCGCCAGTGTCCTAGCACAGGCCAGTTTCAGTTGGTTACGGCTCTGCGGGGCGGCTGTCATCCGCCCGTCCTCGAAAGCAAGCCGGTACACGTCGTCGTAGTGGTCGACGAAGTGGGCCGTGAGGCCTCTGGACTTGGTAGTAACATGTAGTAGCAGAATGTACCATACGGTTGGTGCATGCAGCATCGTGACGTGACGGTTGAAGACATGTCATATCCAGCCTGCTCGCAGGTAGGGCTTCAGTTCTAAATAATCTGCCTGGCCCGTTCAAAGGCTGAGGCTAATCAGAAGTTTTTTCGACTCATGCACGCAACCAGCTTCTGCATGCAATCACAACGCCTGGTTGGACATGGGTAGGACCAGCATGTCAACATTCTCTCTTCTGGCAGCCAGCGTCTTCCTCAGCGGTCTCATCGACAGGCCACATGAACAGAATGGGAGTGCAAAGAGCAGGCTACAAATTGGCGCAGACTCGCGTGCCCGGGTCTTCATCCCTGACCGCTCGGGCTACACTCTCAGTGTGCCCCAGAGATGCCAGGAGTCTCTTTGATACCGCCGACTCGAAGCACCTTGCCTGTCAATGTGACCTGCATGTAGGTTCCGACACTCACACTTGCAGTTTGCAGGGTTCATAGTGGTGCGGCCTAGTCCAGTCGCGAACCTGCACTGCCAGACTAGCTACTTCTAGCACAAAGACACGACCCCCTTTCAAGGTCTCTTGTGGGATTGGGCAAATTGGGCAGCCATAAAACAACTTTGCATACAGTAGGCAGCAAAGGAAACAACACCTGCCTCGCCAGTCATGGCCATGTCTCGCTTGACTGGCCGATCAAGGGCCATGCTGAGCCTAGGTGCAAAACAGAACACGCAGGAGCACGATACTGCGCCAAAATTGCCTCACAGCCCGTCTGCGTGCCGGCACGGACTCCTGCTGACTGAGCCAAGTAGCAAAGCCGATGTCATTGTTACTCCGGCAGATGGTCCATCCTCACAATTCCACGGGCACGGCAAACAATTCGACAAAACCAAAGACATCGTGCCAACAAATGCTCCTTTGGAGTGGCACCCTCTGGCATGTTCATGTGGATATGTGCCTGTCAGGTTGCGAATGCAGGCATGCGATGGCAGAGGCCATAGAGACCCATCAAACCAGCAAGGGCACGTGGTCTAGGAACTCGTTCTTTGGTTCAAGCTCACGCAGGAAGATTCGTGCGTAGGTGAGCGCGATCTCGCTTGATTCGCCCATCACCTTCCCAAGAGCGCGGGCAATCACGCGAACATTGTGAACATACAAAATCCATAGAAAGTCTCTCGCGTCATGTCGCTGTGCTACACGAACATCATGCTGGATTTCACATAACCTTTCTGCACAAGATGGGCCTTTCCTAGCTTTCCTGTCACCTTCATGCGCGGTCCCGCATTCCGCGGCCGCGGGCTCTTGGAGCTCGATGAAGGCCTTGGACCGCTTGGATTTCGTTTGGACAGAAATATTTGTGTTCCCTCGAAGTTTGGCAAAAGGTCCTGTTAGAGCTGTGTCGCCTTCTCTTGCACACGTAGACTATTCGTTCATGATCCCAACATGTCCCTGGCAGCAGCAAGGCACGGAAGACTTCATGTAAAACCCTCTCATCCACGGACGTCCTCGAAGAATTCCGAAGTCTTCGGAAAATCATTATAATGTGTTTTCAACATGGCATCATAACAAAAAAGGTTTCTGGCATCAATCCTAAACTCAGCTACCTTCATGACCTTGAGGTTTCAGATCCGATACAGCCTATTCTCAGCTGCCGTTGTGCGATTGGGCTCGACCTTCTTCGTTTCTGTAGAGCTGAGCATGGAGCAACTGGATCTGTAAGACGTCGAGCTGCGTATCGCTAGTGTCACTACTGCCGTCAGCCGATGCTGTAGCGTCCAGAGACAGCGTTGCATCTGTCATCGTTTCCTAAGCTTGCACACAAGGGTCACTTCGCACAAGGCCAGAAAAAAGCTTGAGACATCTCATGGTGCAAGTCTGTAAATCCGAGCCACATTGCTGGCAGGCACGCGGCCGCGTGCCTGCAGGAACATTCATGGGGAGCTTCTCCAATCAGGCGTCATGCTAAAGAATTCCTAAAAGAATTGAAACTCCAAGTGCGGACACATCCACTAAGCTCTGAGGAAGCTCTTTGTAACTTGCCAGCCTCCACAAAAAGCGTCTGCCCCCCCAAGGCCGTCCAGGCCAAACCCATAGCCACACCGCTGGGGGCCTCCTGGAAAAGCCTCGGATAGCGCAGCTGAATGGGACAACTGCACACCGACTGCAGTGCTAAAGGCTAAAGCTGCTAAAGGTCATCGCCTGGGGCACTCCTAGCCCAGCATCCAGGCAGAAGTGAAGCGTTCATCATTTTAGGGGCCACTTACCCTGAGAATAATTGCAAGCTGTTCAGCTTTACATCTCACACGTTCGAGAGAAGGCACCGCTCCGAAGAGTGGGGCGGTTGACCTCTCGCTTGTGCAGAGAAGTCCACGCGCATCTCCCCGCTAATTTATGTTCCTCCGGCGATCGATCAAAAATGTCAAGAACCCCAGCGCCTACAAATTTTCGCAGGTTGTCGGTGGAGATGATGGAGCGCTCGCGCGCTTCTTGCTCCACACGAACGAGGCTTAAAGCCACTTTCCTTAAAAGGCACAAACTCTGCCAGCGGCCACCACCTCATAGTCGTGATCATGCCCACACGAGTCCGAGCAGCCGAGTGATCTTTTCTAAGAGCTTGCGCAGCTCGCGCACGCCAGCTTCCCGCGCGTAGTCGCGGATGAGTTCTGCAAGGGCCTCTGATACGCACTAGGCAACATCATGCCATGGCAAGAAGCTTCGAAGCCTGCCTCCGGCTGTAGCTCGAGAAGCTCTTGCGGAACACCGTTTGTGGCCTCAGGAGCTTTAGGGCGCAAGCTGGCGAAACCGTTCAAACCTCCGAAGCAAGCTGAAGAACTCTTGCCGGTGGCCATAAGCACTGCCATGAAAGGACCGAGATGCAATTGTCTGCGGGATTAGGTACTGATTGGCTATCGCCAACTTCTCCTCATAGACGTAGCCAGCCAGTCTGATGACCTCCATACCTCGTTTCCCAAAACAACGTGCACAAACAGTGGCTTGACATGGGGGCAAGCAGCACAACGCACGTCTCGTGCAGGCATGATGCGATCTAGAAGAGGTCCTTCAAGGAGGGGCTGGAACCATCCCAAAAAAAACTGGGAGCAAGTGTATGTGTGGGCATGGATCGACACAACTCTCCTGGAATTGTATCGGTAACATTTGCAGTGCAAATAAAAAGCACCTTCGAGAGGTCTATGGGCACATCCTTGGCTCAGGCGAGGATGATCACAAATCAACAACATGGTGAGCAGGCAGAAAGCTCGTCTTACACAAGGCATCCGAGCAGCCAGGTACAAGTCTCTGAAAGCAGAATTCTGCTCGGGATCGAGAACCTCCAGTAGGGCTGACGAAGGATCCCCACCTGCAACACGAGGCGCTGTGAAAAACGCTTGCAACCCTAAACCATCTAAACCCTACACCCCAAACCCTAAACCCTAAACCCTAAACCCTAAACCGCTAGGGGTCAGGCGGAAGTCACGGCCAAGCTTGTCGACTTCATCCACAAGGATGACGGGATTGGAAACTTGCCTGAGCGTATTCGGCTTAACTGCAACCGCACGCCCCAGCACCACAAATCGCAAACGTCGTACAGCCTCAAGCCGCGAAACTGCAACATCCGAGGTCACTCCCCCCCCCTCCCAAGCTGGAGGGAGCTAAAGTATGAAGTGCCAAAAAAAACTTTTGAAACATGCCCGCCTGCGCAGCTCCTGCCTAGACTGTCCAAGCTGATATGGCAAGGGGCTTGATCTTCAAAGCTTGTATGATCTTGCCCGGCATCGCACCAACATAGGTTCGACGATGCCCGCGAATCTCGGACACGTCATGCAAGCCACCAACCGAGAAGCGGAAGAACTGCCTGGCAGGGCCCAAGTGTGTTGGAGGCTTGCCAACTTAAGCACATGCCCCTCCTGCCCCTCCTGCCCCTCCCCTCTGCCTGTCCAATGCCCTCGCAATGCTTTTGCCGATCGACGTCTTGCCAACACCCGGTGGTCCGACCAAGCACATGATCTTTCCATGCACGGAGCCTGTCCGGTCTGCTTTTCGAATCTCGCGAAAAAGCAAAGCAAAACCTTGCGCCTTTGAGGAAGCTCACTGCCATGTGCTCCAGGATCCGCTCTTTGACATCCTGTAAACTTGGCCGCCTAGGCGCCTCATGGCATGTACTTTCATGCTATGCAGACCGTCCTCCAGGCTGTAGTGGTCCTGAGCCATCACAGAGACTCACACATGTCACATGCAAGGAAATAGAACACCGCCCTGTCCTCATTCAGGATTTGTTCAGCCTTTTCGATGTCCGTGTTGTCCTGCTACATGCATGCGCACATTGCTTAATTACATGTCGTCCTGGACATCCATCTTCTTGTGCTGTGCATCTGCTGAATGGCAAAAGCCTCGCTGAACTTACCCCACGGAAGAGCAGTGAGCCATTCGAGGTATGTACGGCAAACCTCGCGTTGTGCTCGCAAAGAGCAGCAAACTCTGCGGCACCCGAAGTGTGGGTTGGATCAAACATCCATCGAGGCCGAGCAGCATTAAACTCTGCGGACTGCGGCTCAAGGGTGCCGAGCTTGCTTAGCTCCTCGAGCGGGGGTACGGGAGGGGGGGGGGGGAATGCTTCGGAGTCGCTTCAGGGCTTAATTCGGGTTTGCAGCAGAGACTGTTCAGGGTTTGGGGGGTGGCAGGTACAGGGCTTCCTGGTCCATCACCTTGGCGGCCTCCTCAGGGATCTTGTCACCCAAGTTCTTGATACACTCCTGCCATGAAGTCAAGCTTCGTGCACGCCACGCTTCAAGATGGGTTGTCACATGTTGTCACCGAAGCAATCCGCAGGCCTTAAACGCAGCAATGATGGATTGCTTGTCATCCCGTTCTAGGTTCAACTCCCGCTTGATGTAGCGGAGCTGCTGCATGAGGATGAACTTCCTGAGCTCACTCTAGAAGACGCCCAGAAGATGCCCAGGAGCCATTGAGGAGCAGGTTTCTGCCTCAACACTTGGCTACCTTACGGAGCTGCCTGTTGTCATGGCATATCCAAGCAACTTGTTCTCTTTCGCAAACTTGTCTTCGATCTGCGTTCGGAACCTCACTGAAGCAAAAAAGTGCAGCTCAACATCGAGTGTGGCTTGGCAAGAAGCACATCATGAGACAGGTGACAAGAGCTATCTGCAGCACTCGGCCCCTCAGGCCCTGGCTGGCTTTGCAAACGCGTGCTCTCCAGGTCCTGACAGCATGGCTCTGTGTGCAGACTGTTGGCTCTGGGCACGGCGAGTCACGCAGAATCTGGTGCTTGGAGTGGCTAACAGGCACTGTTCACCTTCTTCAGAATCAGCAGCACCTTACGCAGCCTCTCTGTGGGGTCCTGCGGCAGTTGGGGCATGCGGACGGATCTTGTTTACGAGACGCCCAGCCAACTGCCAAGGCCGACGAGCCCGACCTCGCATGTCAAGACATCTTGGAGGTCTTGCCGCGGCGCGCTGGACATGCCCGCGGCCTGGGTGGCCCGAGGGCGCTTCGCCAACTTGCCCAGCTATGCCCAGCTATGCCCAGCGATGCCCAGCGATGCCCAGCTGGTTTGACTCGTGCTTTTTCCCGCTGAGCGGCTAGGTCGGCCAGCTTGAGGGGGTCATCTAAGCTGTAGTACCTGAGCTGGGTGGCCCTGAAACGCGGCAGCTCTGATCCGACTCCAAGCCAGCAGCGTGAAAGCGACCTCTGCATCGACATGGCCATGTCCGTCGGGATGCTTGATGACCTGCTCAAACTGGTCCTTGTTCACAAAACTCATCTTCAGCAGCTCCTCACCCAGCACACCATGGCAAAGCATGCTTAAGGAGAGTGTCGCACTGGGCAGCTCGTGGGTCCTTCATGGTTGCAACCATCTCATGGTGCAACGCACGAATTTCGATGCTGAGCTTCGCATCGGCAGAGCTTGGAACCTCGGAAGCAAGATATAGGGGCTTGTGTAGAGAATGTGTAGCGGATATAGCGGGTATATACAGGAGCGTTAAGAAGCCTTATGCATATGGCATCCAGGCCACTTTGTGGCTTGGCAAGGGCACCGTCTCCACTTGGCACAGAGGCCTCCCACTTCCTGGCTGCAAGGTCGTCGCGACCTCAGCTGCCCAAAGCAGCAGTCCTCCCCGCTAAGGCCCGCCCTGGAGGTCAAAAGAACAATGAATTGGAAGGAGGAGGGAACAGGGGGGGAAGGGGGAAGGGGTGATGTTGGGACTTCCTCAAAGTTTAGGGTTCTGGGGTGCACAGTGTGTGGGTCCTGACTTCGGGCTTAAGAGTTAAGCGATGGCTATTTCCCATTTCTTGCAGCACACTCCCTATGCGCCAGCGTAGACTCGAACCCAGACTCTCTTACACAAAAACCCACAATAGACCCACGAGAGAATCAACCACGCGACCTAGTCTGGGCCATATTATAGACCCAAACCCAGACCCATACCAAAAAACGACAAACACAACACCCCCACCCAGAAATTCAACCACACGACCTATTCTTGGCCATCCTAAGACCCCATACACATAGAGAAACCATGACCTGAGAAAATGGAACCCCGCAGCCGTAGGGTTGAGGGACAGCTTCCGCCTGCGCTCTGTGTAGAAGACAGCGCTGAGACCAACCCCACTCAATAGAGCCACTACAAACGCCACTTCAAGACCACACCCAAAGAAAATCACCCAACCCCTGAACCTGGAAAATGGAGACGCTCATCTTAAAAAGGTTCTCTAGGGCAGCAAGGTTAGGGTACAGCAGCTCCAAAGTGAGTCTCATGATCTAGCTCACGGCAGCGGTTTGTCTGTTGTCTACAGTGAAAATGGAAATGGCCCTCGCCAACTGATTGAGGGGTGCAATTCCTCAACCCTCGAACGCACCACCAAAGTCCTACCAAGCCACAACCCCGAAAATCGTCCCCAAAACATAAGCCCTACCCCCTACCCGAAATTCAAAACTCTAATTCCCCAAGCGTCAGACCCTTGCTCTCTTTGTAAGTTTCGGGGCCCAGAAACCCAAAATTTTCCGATGTGTTTGCCGCTGGACGCTGGACCCTGGACGTTTTAATTTGAGCATTTAAACGGGGGTTGGCCGCTGGTGGATCTTGTCGTGTTGCGACCTGCCATGCTGAGACGAGCAGCTCTCCGGATTCTTCCTGTGGGCATGACGACAAGGTTGCCACCATTGCCGCTGGGCGTGTTGGCGTTCAGAGAGACCACCTTGGAGGCACAGAGTTCAACTCGGATGCTGATGCTCTTGTCTCACCCGAAGTAGACCAGAAGTATTCGGGCCAAGGACCTGCAGCTTCGTGCCGACCTGCGGGGAAGGTTAACAGGTTGTTCTGGGTTCTGGGTTGTGTGAGGGGCTGCAGAGTTTGTAGAAGACACCTCCAACTGATTAGAGGTTGCTACTCGACCAGCTACTGCACGACATGTCTCCAAAGATGCCTCCATGAGCTCATCGGCGCTGTCCACCTGAAAGCTCGAGCAAGGAAAGCAAGCTTGGCCTTGGCAAGGAGTGCCAGCGCCTTGCCCGTGTCCTTCCGCGGAGGCTTCTTCTCCGCTTGCTGCAGGGACTCTGGGGGGACCGAGACCAACGGCGCTGCAGTCTCACTCTGCGGTGCGTCCTCGCACTACCCAAACAATTCAACTTCAACGACGTGTAGCCCGCACATCGTGCCAAATTGGCACCGCCCGTGTCTTGACAAGCCATCTCTAGCTGTTGGCTGCTGTGGCGAAGTCTGAAAGAAAGCTTGTAACGAGACGAAAACAGAAGAGACGAAAACCAAGGTCCGCAAACTCGGCGGGCAGCTCCGTGGTCAGGAAGCCTGCTAGGAAGTCGCCCTGGCCAGAAGCCTGTAAGGTGGAGATGAACTCGAAAATGTGCGGCGACGTGATCTGGACGATGTGGTAAAACCTTCTGGGTTTAGGGTTCAAGCTTTTGGGTTTCCTGCTGCATGATCTAAGGGCAAGAAAGATCAGGGTTTAGCAGTATAGGGTGTCAGCATATGCTGTCGCACGCCATTTCATTTCCCTGACATCTTCCAACCCAGCCAAGCCACCCTGGGAAAGCCGGCTTCCGGAAAAGGGGCAGAGCATAAAGCTTCTCCGACTCCACTGCCTCGGATCCTAGGGATCCTTGGCCCTCGCCCGACGGGGCGCTCTCGGCTGCACCCTCCTCCGCTGCGCCCTCGGCCTCACCACCACCGCCTTCGTCCAGAGACACCGCCGGACTTCATGCTAAACAAGCAGCTACGAGACTGAGCGCAAGAATGCATTGAATACATCAAACAGTTGTGGTCGGATGACTCTTCTACTTGCGAAGACTGAGACTCCGTGCAAGCTGCTAGCGGCCGCCTTCAGAAGCACCGCTTCCACCCTCACCTCCTTCTGCACTTGCAGCCTGAGCGCAGGTCATCACTCATGCGATCTCCTGCGCATTGCGTGTGCCCGAGAAAGCTGTCACAAGTGTGTATATACAAACATATATATATATATATATGCTCACCCCCCCCCAATGGACCCACTGCGGATGGCAGCCGAGTCCTAGCCAGATCAAGGCAAAAAAACAACAAAACAAGAAACTAACAAAAACCAACAAACCAAAAAAATCCAAAAAACCAAAAAAACCAAAAAAACCAAAAAAACCAAAAAAACCATCTTTTCCAAAACTATGGGGCTGGGGCCTCCAAAAGATGGTTTTTTTGGTTTTCTCGAGAAAAAGATGGTTTTTTTGGTTCGAAACCATCTTTTTCTCGAGAAAAAGATGGTTTTTGAGCAGCCGCTCTTCTAAAAACCATCTTTTTCTCGAGAAAAAGATGGTTTTACCAGGACAAGACCTCCAAAAACCATCTTTTTCTCGAGAAAAAGATGGTTTTACCAGGACAAGACCTCCAAAAACCATCTTTTTCTCGAGAAAAAGATGGTTTTTCCAGGACAAGATCTCCAAAAACCATCTTTTTCTCGAGAAAAAGATGGTTTTTCGAAGAGCGGCTGCTCAAAACCATCTTTTTCTCGAGAAAAAGATGGTTTCGAACCAAAAAAACCATCTTTTTCTCGAGAAAACCAAAAAAACCATCTCTTGAAGGCCCCAGCCCCATAGTTTTGGAAAAGATGGTTTTTTTGGTTTTTTTGGTTTTCTCGAGAAAAAGATGGTTTTTTGGTTCGAAACCATCTTTTTCTCGAGAAAAAGATTGTTTTGAGCAACCATCCTTCGAAAAACCATCTTTTTCTCGAGAAAAAGATGGTTTTACCAGGAGAAGACCTCCAAAAACCATCTTTTTCTCGAGAAAAAGATGGTTTTACCAGGACAAGACCTCCGGAAACCATCTTTTTCTCGAGAAAAAGATGGTTTTTCCAGGGTAAGATCTCTAAAAACCATCTTTTTCTCGAGAAAAAGGATGGTTTTTCGAAGAGCGGCTGCTCAAAAACCATCTTTTTCTCGAGAAAAAGATGGTTTCGAACCAAAAAAACCATCTTTTTCTCGAGAAAACCAAAAAAACCATCTTTTGGAGGCCCCAGCCCCATAGTTTTGGAAAAGATGGTTTTTTTGGTTTTTTTGGTTTTTTTGGTTTTCTCGAGAAAAAGATGGTTAAGTTTTAGGGGTTTAAGCCTCATGCACTACAGGGTTATAAGGTTCTAATCCTATAGGTATTGCCTTAACCTTTAACCCTAAACCTTTAACTTTAAACCCTGCAGGGTTAACCCCGTGAGAAATTTAGAGATAGACCCCGAAAAGACCCTAAACCTTTTTACAGGGTGTAATGGTTTAAAAACCGATAGGACATGTATACCTTCAGCGCCTGTAGGGTTCAAGCCTTTGCACGTGCTAGACCCCTATGTGGCATGGACCTTTATGTATTATTTGACGTTCTCTCTTGTTTTGTATTTAAAAACCTATAAACAAACTAAATCCAAGAAACCTGAAGCACAAATTCACCAATTTCGTTCTCTTAGGGTTTAGGGCTTACGATTTATAATTTACTCTGTTTTTTGACGCGAACGTACAGACGCAGTCAGATGTTGGCAACGAATACTAGCTATCACTTCTGCTCTTGCGTGGGGGATGATCCAAGCGGTCTCTCGGGTCGAGCTGCGCACCGTTGTGCGCACATTGAAGTGTCCTGTCAGCTGTCGTGCCCAATTGTTGCTTGGTGTGGATCGGCAAAGATCACTGCTACTGAAAGAGGCATCTTCTCATGAAGATGCCCTAACTCTTTCAAGACATCTACATTATCATTCAACGCGTACAGACGTCGGTTCGACAACCTGTAAAACTTCGTACTCTTCTTCACAAACTGAAGTGGACGCGAGTCCTGCAGTGCCCTGAACCGTCTCGTGCAGAAAACACCCCCGCAGAAAATCACTGCCTTTACCGCAAGCATTGGAATCATACAACCGCACAACCCGCTACAGTCCACCTCCGCCACGGACGCACCCATGACCGCAGAAGCCACTGCCCCGCCGATAAGGAGCCGACCAAAAAAAAGCAACGACGGCACCCATTGCAAAAGACCTGCGAAAACGTCTCGCGTAATCAGTGACCATCATACAACAATCGGTGAACAATCTTAAGACACTAATTTTTGCGGGCAACCAATAGCAACTCGTGGTCGACCAAGCCGATGCCTGAAGACGGCACGGCTGCGGCGCCTCGGAGCTTGTCTTCCTGACTCGGGAAACGGCTGCGGCCGACGCCAAGTCTCGCCAGCTGTCGTGCAGAATTGTTGCTTGGTGTGCGTCGACAAAGATCACTGCTACTGAAAGAGGCTTCTTCTCATGAAGATGCCCTAACTCTTTCAAGACATCTACATTATCATTCAACGCGTACAGACGTCGGTTCGACAATCTGTCGAACTTCGTACTCTTCTTCACAAACTGAAGTGGACGCGAGTCCTGCAGTGCCCTGAACCGTCTCGTGCAGAAAACACTCCCGCAGAAAATCACCTTGAGACACATGCCTTTACCGCAAGCATTGGAATCATGCAGCCGCACAACCCGCTACAGTCCACCTCCGCCACGGACACTCCCATGACCGCAGAAGCCACTGCCCCGCCGAGAAGGAGCCAAAAAAAAAAAGAGCAACGACAGCACCCATTGCAAAAGACCCGCGAAAACTTCTCGGATAATCAGTGACCATCATACAACAATCGGTGAACAATCTTAAGACACTAACTTTGCGGACATCAAATAGCAACTCGTTGACCAAGCCGATGCCTGAAAACGGCGCGGCTCCAGCGCCTCGAAGCTTGTCTTCCTCACTGTGTGTTTTTGAGATTTAAAGGAGAACAAGAGAAGAGAAGGGAGAGAGAAAGGAGAGAGGAGAGATCAACAGGAATGCAACTCTAAATGGAAGAGCAATGAAAAGAATGGAAGAGAAATGAGGACAGGCGAAATGCAAAAATCAGGCAAAGAGAAGATGGTGCTCGTTTTCATCTTTCCTCTGGTTCTTATTTTTCTCTTCTCTTGTTCATTTCCGTTAGAAAAAACAAAAGGAATAACAATGAACATGTAAGCAAACCCAGCTGATGCTCATGATTTTTTCCTTTCTCCCTCTCTCTCTCTCTCCATATATGGGCGATGGAACGGGTGTCCTTGTTGGGCCGTTTCCTGCATCTTCAAGTGAGGAACCTAAGTGTTTTCTTTTGTTCGTTTGAAGACACAGAAAGCGATTAAAAGGGACGTCCATTTTGGATTGGCAGCCAACCCAGCTGATGCTCATGATTTTTTTCTCTCTCTCTCTCTCTCTATATATATATATATGGGCGATGGAATGGGTGTCCTTTTTGATCGTTTTCTGCATCTTCAAGCGAGGAAAAGGGACACCCCACAAGAAAGCACTTAGGGTGTCCCTTTTGCTCGTTTGAAGACACAGAAAGCGATTAAAAGGGACGTCCATTTTGGATTGGCAGCCAACCCAGCTGATGCTCATGATTCTTTTTCTCTCTCTCTCTCTCTCTCTCTCTCTCTCTCTCTCTCTCTCTGGGCGATGGAATGGGTGTCCTTTTTTGATCGTTTTCTGCATCTTCAAGCGAGGAAAAGGGACACCCCACAAGAAAGCACTTCGGGTGTCCCTTTTGCTCGTTTGAAGACACAGAAAGCGATTAAAAGGGACGCCCGTTTTGGATTGGCAGCCAACCCAGCTGATGCTCATGATCTCTCTCTCTCTCTCTCTCTCTCTCTCTCTCCCTCTCTCTCTCCCTATATATGGGCGATGGAACAGGTGTCCTTTTAGATCGTTTTCTGCATCTTCAAGCGAAGAAAAGGGACACCGCAAGAAAACACTTAGGGTGCCCCTTTTGCTCGTTTGAAGACACAGCAAGCGATTAAAAGGGGCGCCCATTTTGGATTGGCAGCAAACCCAGCTGATGCTCATGATTTATCTCTCTCCCCATATATGGGCGATGGAACGGGTGTCCTTTTTGGATCGTTTTCTGCATCTTCAAGCGAAGAAAAGGGACACCACAAGAAAACACTTAGTAAGGGTGCCCCTTTTGCTCGTTTCAAGACACAGAAAGCGATTAAAAGGGACGCCCATTTTGGATCGGCAGCAAACCCAGCTGATGCTCATGATTTATCTCTGTCTATATATGGGCGATGGAACGGGTGTCCTTCCTGATCGTTTTCTGCATCTTCAAGGGAGAAAGAAGGGCACCGCCCAAGAAGGAAAAGTAACATCAGATATAGGGAGGGAAATTGAAGAGCTCCTCTCTTTACTTAGTCATTCCCTTTCCTCTCTTCTTATCTGTTGTTTTCTTCGCTTCAAAAAGCAAAATAAGGGAAAAGAGATTTCCTGAAGAGGAGGGAGGGCACCTATTGAAGAGCTCCTGTCTTTACTTAGTCATTCCCTTTCCTCTCTTATCCGTTGTTTTATTCGCTTCAAAAAGCAAAATAAGCGAAAAGAGATTTCCTGAAGAGGAGGGAGGGCACCTATCTGTAAAGAGCAATCGTTTAGAGGGGAACAGGAGAAGAGGAGCGAGAGAGAAGGACAGAGGAGAGATACAGGGAATCCAATTTCAATAGAACAGCAAAGAAAAGAATAGAAGAGAGATGAATAGAGAAGAGGGAGAGACAAAACAAGGCGCAGAGAAGATGGCACTCTTCTTTATCTATCCTCCCTCCCTTATCTCTCCCTTCCCTCTTTCTTTTCCAGATAAGAACAACTAACGAGGAATAATTATGAAAAGGAGAAGAGTAAGGAAAGGAGCAGAAGAGATAGGCCGAGAAGAGGGATATGATGAAGTACGGCAAGGTCCACGCGCAACCTCTGCTTACCCTGCCACTGTTTTATCCTGCAAGTTCCTTTCTTGTTGTTCATCAGTCAAAAAGTAACAGAAAGAGAGAAGGGAAAGGGAAGTGAGAGAGGAGAGAGAACAAGGATGCCCATTTTTCTGGAAGGGTACTGGAAAGAAGAGAAGA